AGCTCAAATAGTCCAATTTATGTATTAAAACCCAGCCCTGGTTGAGGAGCCCAACCTCATTGTGAATCCACCAAGTCCAAGACAGACCAAGGCCGGTTAGACTTCTTGCTTAGCACGTCACCAAGAGGAGAGCACTGGAAGTTTATCTACACCGCCTTAGGGAGCCCAAGGCCGGTTGGACTTCTTGCTTAGCACGTCACCAAGAGGAGAGCACGGTTGGACTTCTTGCTTAGCACGTCACCAAGAGGAGAGCACGGTTGGACTTCTTGCTTAGCACGTCACCAAGAGGACAGCACGAGAAGCTTATCAACGGTCCAATCTTTGACCACGTTTCCTTCAAGAGTTCCCCAAACTCTTCCTTCCGTTGAGGATAAGTCGTGATCTCCACCGAAGATAATCTCTAAGCTGCGATAAAGAAGCCTTGAGGATATGTTATGATCTCCACAAGAATGATCTCTTATCTACTATAAAATGGCTCTAATCTGAGAGAGAAAGGGACACATGCTCCATCAGAGACTTACAGAAGACGAACCGACTACCGGAGATTATTATTTTTCTTTGATTCTCCATTCTCTCTCTCAAAGCTTGTATCTCCATTCTCCATACCTTTGAATCAATAAAATACCCGGCATCTGAAGCCATTGAAGAGTGGACGTAGGTCGAATTGACCGAACCACTATAACTTGTGTCTTCTTCAATTTTCTCTTTGATTTCATTGCATTTATTATCTATACTTGACAGGTGGTGTGCAAAATCATTTTTGTGCATCATCAGCAATGACCATCTTTGAGTCAACAACATCCCTAAACCCAGCAGAACATATGCTGCTGTTATGATTGCAAAGTATCTCATGTGAGACCTTTAATTAATTCACTTTCATGTCTCTCTATCATGAGCTAGAGAAAGATAGGATGAAGGAGCAACAATACGAGAGGCATTGAGGAAGAGAACTCAGAGAAATTCTGACATTAATTGTATAATTATATATATTTGCATTTTTTTGTCTAAATCGGGTTGAGATTTTTTTATCCAAATCCAACTTAAGTATTAAGTCTCTTATTTAAGTACTAAATTTTTCTGAGTTGGGTTAGAATTGGGTTTGGGTAGTCCTCCTAAGTTGCACTCTCTATAGAAAATTAGTGATTGATATGATTTTTGTTACCTAAAAAAGATAGAACAAAGTGAATGAAGGGCCTTCTGATGTACTAGCAGAAGGGTGTTCCTATAAACTTGAGTTGACAACAAATCGCGTCGTGTTAAATCTTTACCTTGTCTATGATATATCGTGTTAAAATTTATTAAATTTATACTCAGCCCATTTATAATTATAAATTATAAATAGTTAAGTTAATATAGTCTGAGGTCATACCATGTATAATTATATATAGTCATTTTTTGCAGATTCGTGTCATGTTCAATTGAGTTTGTATTGATATATTTATTTAGCGGATTTAAATAGTTCACTCATTTACCATCCAAACTATTAAGCCTAAATTCAAATTCATTAATTTTGTGTCAATTTTATGCTGAGTTTACAGCTTACAAAGGCGGAACGAACTATGAGGAAGCCTAGGGGGACAATGGCCCCCCTCTCAAATTTTAAAAATTCCCATTATCCCTCCTATATTTTTTTAAAAAATTTGTTATTAACTTCTAATTTTTCAAAACACCAAATGTGTAAGTATCTCATCTAGTTTATTCAAAAAAACAAAGACTTAATATTTAGTAACCATTTATGATGTAATCAGATAGATAGATTGTACTGACGAATATATTTGTTGAATTATTTTGATAATATAGAGAAAAAACAAGTGACTTTTTTTTTTAACAAAAAATAAGGATATAGATATGATTTATATCAAAAGCAATTGGTTGACTTATAATTCATTTTTATTATGATATCATAACTATTATTTGTGACTTTGATTTATTTAGAGACATAAAGTTAAATTATAAAAAAAAAAAAAAAGAGATTATCACAAATGTCATTGCATAAAAATTAAATTTAATAGTTTTTTTTTAAATAAAAATGTATCATTGGTACAGACAGTTAAAATAAAAATTTTGTTTATGTTGTTGTTTACCCCCCTCAAGACAAAATCCTACCCGACCGTTCGTGTTTGGAATTGCTAATCCTACTATAAATAATGCTATAAAGTTTGTTGCTTTGTCATTTCACCTACAAAATGTTAATAAGAGTAATGGTATTGGTCTTGTTGTTTTGGATATTTTATTGCTTAATGTGTGGCTTAGACGATTGTATATGGAAAGTGAGATGGGTGGGCAACTAGGCTTTTAATAATGTTGTATTAGCAACAAGTAGCAACCACTACAGCAACTATAGCATCATACTTGGTTGGAAGCATTGATTTGTTTAGTTGATTTTGACTTGTTGAGTGCCAAGCACTGAGATAGTGATCTACCCACATAAACCACACAACATTACTGGCTTTTTGTGTGTGTTTTGTGTTGGGGTCGGGGGTGGGGGGATAGTCTTGAGAATATGCTCCTTCATCTTCAATTATTTTTTTGTGGTTACCCATGACTTATTGAATATCAAGGGAGGCATTTGTGGCCCCTTACTGCCAAAAAAAATCTCAACAGTTTTTTTTTTGCATAATGAACATTGTCCCGGTCACTCATGATTATAACACAATTGTTGGAATCATACAATTACTTACAAAATATAAACCCGGGTTTGAATGTGTGGAAAATGGAGACTAGAATTTGTCAGCAACATAATCGTAATTTTTTCTTTTTTTTTTTTTGGGGGGGAGGGGGGGACGGGGTAAAATGGGCAGTAAAATCTGCATCTCATAGTGAATTACGAAGCTCAAAAAAAAAAAAAAACTCTCCCAAATCTGCAGGAACCAAATATATCAATGTGGAAATATAAGAGATTGCAGTTATTTACAATGTAGAGGACTTGAAACCCCCAAATAGTAATCTTCAAAGGCAATAAAAACTGAAGATGATTGGTTTAAAACAATTCAACTATGGTACCGAAAAAGTAATTTTTTGTTATTATATATATTTTTTTCTGATATGTGTAGAAAAAAAAAATATTTTATTATTTTAATTTAATTTATCACTTTAACAAGGGTGGATGATACTCTATTCCCATGAACATGATTGGATTGTGAACATCAACTCTTAACACAGTTAACCCTTTCAGCCTTTTTTGATTCACCAAAATTATCATATCTCTAAAGACTTGTAAAAGAAGCTATAATGCCAAGACAAAGTTCTTGCCACCAAAGACAAATGGAGAGAGAGAGAGAGAGAGAGAGGAAGAAAAGTTGGATTTGGAGGAAAAAAGGCAAGAACCACATCAGTAATACTACGTGGATCTTTGTGTTTTACAATGGGCTGAAAGCATGAGATGCTTGAATAAGTGGAATGCAGACTCAGCCTCGGCAAAGTGATTGTGAGTATGTTTGGTCAACTTGGCCAAGTTGGATACATAAATCCTAACAATAATGATATGTACATCACCGGCATGATCTCAACCATTAATTACTCAATAGGACCTAGGGATGGTAGTGAATTGAAAAAAAAAAAAAAGAATTCGTCCAAATCTATTTTGTTTGGACTGAAAATAAACCTTATGTATTAGACGATAAACATATACAAGAATACCCTTATAAATCCATGTGGGAATGGATGCGGGGTGGACCAAAACTTATCCTTGCCTCATCCCTAAAATCCCGTTATATCTATTTAGGGTTGAGGACTCTTAAATTATATATATATATAGATGTAAGGATTATATTGCTAATTTATTTCTTTGTTTTTGGTTTTGATCATATCATATGATACAAACATATAGTGATATAACTTGTACTTTAATTGTAATGTTTTTTTTTTCTTAAAATCACACAAAATTAATTGTAATTGGCAGGGGCGAGAGCGGGACGGGGGCTGGTGGTGGGGTGGGGGCAGGGATGGAGATTAAAACTTACCTTGCTAACACGGGTGGACAAACTTTTTTAAATGGATACGAGGGTGGAGACTACTCCTCCGCCTTTGATCCCACTCCGATCCAATAACATTCTTAATGGGACTTACTAATCTAATGATTCAAATATATAAAGAAAGTACGTAGCACTCTTAATAATGGCGGAAAGGGTTCAAATGGAAAAGTAAGCAATGAGATACCTGGCGATTTTTCCTGGGTATGTCACCTAATTTGGTAACAGCACCTAATGACATGGTCACTGGCCAAATAAATAAGCAAAGTGAAAGCCATGGGCACAGCACTGTTCCACTTGAAACCATAAACTTGAAGTTAGTTTTACTTTCTGGAAGATGAAAGTTCAATCCCAGAAATGAATTGATAGTTTGATACCATCTGCTTTGAAAATTATGACAATGCATTGGTGTGTCGAATCGCGAAAAGAGTCTATCAGAATGTGAGATAAAGGTATAAATTTATGTAAAATTGACTCGTTCCAAACCATACAATGAAGAGAGGCCCGTGCACTAGACTATTATTTTTTCAGTTGATATAGGATTTGTTAAGCCAAGTCATCTTCTTGTAGAAATGGAGTTCCATGATTCTAAATTGTAAAGAAATTGAAGCACATATGTTGTGTTAAATTTGATCAATGCTGCCTGCAAAGTCTTCACCTCCTAAGAAGCTTATCTCACTGCAGCATTCCTAAAATAAAGGAATTCAAAACATAGTTCAAAGTCGTGATATTGATTATTAACTCGAATAGTTTCAAGACACATCGGTCGTAGTGCGATATTGGGCAATATGACGTAAAAAAAATGTTAAATATGACGCAAGATTCAACTTATACCGCAGCGTCGTGAAACCGTACCGACTGATTTAGTGACAATAACTCAATGACTCAGGATAGACTTGGATACATCCTAAGTCGTGCGAGACTCGAAATTTATATGTATCGTGTAACGGTATCATTTAGGAAGGTGTTGACTCAACCGACTCGTATTGCTATTGATCGATACTTTGAACCATGATTCAAAGTTGGCAGCCTAAAACCATTTTGGGCTCCATATAATTGGAATTTTATAGACAAGCTAATAGAGTATTTCATTTGCAAGTAAAAGCATGGCATGACTCCCATCTTTCAAGTTTTCCAATCATCAGTTCACATAACACCATGGCCTAGCTATTAACATTAACCATACTCGAGGGGATTGGACTTCAGAGTTTCAACCTCCTTGACCACCATGAACATTGCTGCTTCATCCAAGAACCTGGTATCTTGTTGCCTGGATCTGAAACTCAGAAGGGTGAGGTCCAATACGCGCTCCAACACAAGCATTCCTCTGCAATGGAAGACCATGTGAAGCAATCTCATACGGATAAGCCATGAACGTGTTGCCATGCGCTGAGTCAAAAACCAACACCGCCCCATCATTTGATTCATTCCAGTCTAGTAATTTCTTTGGTGAGCTCAAGGACTTGTGCACTGGTCCAAGAACAGTACACTTATCCATTGAAGGAGATTTGTTGTTGTCTGATGCAGTAGTGTTCATCAGATTAACCATTGTAGTGTCATGGATACTGGGCCTCTTCTTATCTTTTCCTCCTGAAAGCTGCCTCTGATAGTATTTCTGAGCATGGCTTGCCACTTGAGTCGGTGTTTTAGAGATGACAAAATTACGAGCAATATTTCTCCAGTCCCCTTTTCCGTGCTTTTGTAGACCCAATAAAAACCGCCTACAGTCAATCACCGAATCATTCATGCCATGAAAACAGCAAGAAAATATTAACGCCGGAAACTAGGAAAGTTCAAAGCAAAAACCACAAAATATAAATGCATTTGATTGCTAGAAGACAGGATATTCACTTGAATCCAGCTACCTATACCTATCCAATGATGTAAGTTCAAAGATTTTATCTAACTAAGTTCATACACAGTTTGAATACACATTTTCATTTAATTCTCCAATCTCCAACTGTACAGAACCCACAACTTTTTTGATAACAAAGTAGCAATAGCTCATCTTTGTTCGGTTGCACAAAACCAAGTAACCAACTAAGAAGAATGTTGAAAGTTTTCTTATGGCAGTTTGGATTTGTGGAAGTGTCAAATAATCAGCTCTTGGATCAAAAAACTAGAAATCAAAATGAGAAACAAAGGAAATCAAAGCTCAATACTCCAATAAGTTTGTGACAGCAATGAGTAATCAACAAAACCAATATTTCCATGAATAGGCTAAGTTAAACTTAATGTCACTTCCTCAAAAACTAAATAGTAGACAAGGTTTCATACATCATGTATCATCTAGTCTATTTCACATCATTTTCATTTCTTTTTACTTCAGTTTGTTTCATAAGCAAAGAAAATGAATGTAAATAACTTGAAGCACCAAGTTTTCTGGCCAACATAGTCATAAAGAAACTCACCTGTGCTCCTCTTTTGTCCATGGAACACCTTTCTTCCTCTCCTGATCAGACCTCCCTGTCGAAGACTTCTTTCTACAAGCACCAAAACCATTATTGTCAACCCATTCTAGTGTGAAAGAGGAGGTCAGATACATAGGAATTGGAACCAACCCATTTTCTATATCACTAACATCTGCTACTAATTCCATGTACTGATTCATCACATCGAAAATCGACTTTCCGGGTATCATGGCTGCCACCTTCATCCATCTATCAGGGGTCTCCTTATCAAAAATTGCAAGAGCACTTTCAAATTTCTTGTTCTCTTCTTTTGTCCATGTTGTGCCTCTGCTTCCTTGCATAAACCAATTTGAGTCCAAAAAATGTGAAGCTGGACCTAGAGTGTCCATACCCAAGAGTTCCAATACTCTTCTACAGCACTGAAATCTCAGTTAGCTGTAATTTGACAATTCACAACCATATAACAGAGATGAGCATTCAAACTGTGGCAGTAAGATATATGAAGTATGAGGAAAAAAATGAGAATTTGTACAAGGATGCACAAGGTACTAAATTCAGAATCATATACTGGGAATCAAAATACTCTTTTTCCTATTAGCATAGATTGAAGAATCTAGAAAAGACTCACCGTTTCAGAATCAAAAGAATCTTGGAAGAATATGAAGAGAAGATATTGATCTTACTGCTCACATAAACCCTAGACCCACCAATCACATCATATACTGAACCACTAGTAAACATACAGAGAGATAAAACTGAAAAATAAGCAAAACCCAGATGAAAATTTTGATTTTGAAAAGGGTTAGTAGGAAATTTCGCAGAAATGAAGCTCAAAATGGACAAATTAGTACTGTTGAAGTATCAACACAAACCTAAACTTGAAACATCTGATTAAATAATAGAATAAACCAAAACCCATTTGCAAAAAGATACTGATTCTGGAGAACTGGGTTTTTAAAAAGGGGAAAGTATTTTTCTTTCTTGCTTCCTTTGAGGCTAAGGCAACAAAGCAAACAGAATGAAAATGGTAAACAGGGTCTGGAAAAGGTTGGCTATCAGTATCAGAACTAGTAGTAGTAGCAATATTGTTCTGCGTCGTGGTGGTGGGTGAATCCACAGGAGAGTAGAATTAGAGAAAGAAAAGGGAACATCATGACCTTGACAAGCTGTCTGATAAAGATTGGAGAGGTGGTTTTTGGAGTTCATGGAAGTGATTCTTTCCTCTAAATATAGTGTTGGAAAATGTTATTTGAATTTTGGGAAAATTTTAATCACACTCTCTCTAGTTTATCATATCTTTAAGAACAGCTCCTAATTTTTGAATCTTCAATAAAATCCTATTAGCTTAAAAATATTAAGTAGAATGCAATTTTACTAAATTGCTCAAGATATATTTGAGAACAAATTTCATCCACACCCCCTCTAGATAAACATATTTTCAATTAGACTCCCTCTAGATAAGTATATTTTCAATGAAACCCTTCTATTTTTCAATTCTTTTTATGTAATTAAATTCGAACTGATTAAAATTCGATTCAAACTAATTAAAATTTATTTTTTTACATATTAAAATTTGTGCAAATTAAAAATTATATTTTTTATGTATTAAAATTTGGGCTCATTAAAATTTTGTTTGAGCCAATTAAAAATTATTTTTAATCGACCCAAATCAAATTTTAATCAATTCGCATTGAATTTTAATTGATTTAAATTTTAATAAATCGAATCTTAATTGACACGAATTTTAATAAGTAAAAAAATATAAATTTTAATCGACTCGAAAGAGAATTTTAATCGACTCTAACAATTCGGGTAGAGTTCAAATTGACTCAAATTTTAATATGTAAAAAATAAATTTTAATAGGCTCGATTTTTTTAAAAAAATTACGAATTAGTAAATAACAAATTAGTATTTACTTACAAATTATTTACTAAAATTGTTATGTACGAACTTTTTTTAAAATTTTAACAACTCGAATTTTAATAAAATTTTATGTAGAAAAATTACTTGAGATTATGTAGGGGCATTTTTGGTATTTTAGATATATTTTTTTTTGTTAGAAATGATAGTTTAATGATAAGGGGTGTTAATGGTGTTTAAATTAAACTAAAAGGGGTGTCATTAAAGATTCAAAAATTAGAAGGAATGTCCTTGAAGATATGATAAACTAGAGGGGTGTAGTTGAAATTTTCCCTTGAATTTATAATATTGGACCAATTTGATGATTTAATTAATTAAAATTATTAATTTAATAATGATTAATTATATTAATAAATTGAGTCATCATTTTAGGTCCAAATAACAATGTTCATATAAAATCACTGGAGACCTAAACTCTTACCAAAATTGAGTAAAAATAAAAAATAAAAAATTTGATTTGATATAAAATATTTTAATGTAGAAACTCAAAAGTAAAAAAGAGTAAACCTAAATTTAAATGAACTTGAGTACCACCTTATTCAATAGCAAGAATCATCAAAGTCATCGCCATTGTGGTGTAAAGATTATGATACATTTTTTCATACTTATCACTTGTCTTCATTCTTCTCATATGAAATCGATACCTAATAAATTGATTAAGACAAGTATGGCTGCTCTGTTGTTTTTTTTTTTTTTTGGTGTGTTAAGTATGGCTGCTTTCTCTAAGTGTGATTTAAGCAATCAAACACTTTTGAGTCAGCATAAAAAAAGGTGAGATTACCATTGGATGCCTCTCTATTAAATAGTGAATAAAAAGCAATACTAAAAGAAAGATATTTACCCAAAAGATTAAAAGAAAAGAGTAAAGGCAAACTTCTAACTTTATATTGGATGAATAGCCATTGATTATGCTTAGTCGTTTTGCTTGCTAGATTTTGACAATTGTAGGGCCTCATGAATGAGATCTCCTATATATTTTTTTCTTGTTTTACTTCTTGATAGATTATTTATCTTAAATTTAAGTAAAATTTATTATATATATAAGTGAATCTTTTACCTATCAAAAAAATAAATAAAAAAAAAACATTGAATGGAGTGTGAATTTGATATAAAACTTAACACGAATGATAGTGATTTAATTATAAGAAATTTTTTTAATGATCCCGATGTAACTAAAAAATACAGGCATTTTGTGGGTTTTATGCAAAAATCATTATGGATTGAATTATAATAAAAAAATTAAATTCAAAACGAATATTCGTGAACAAAGTGGATATCTTTTGAAAATGAGTAATTCAAATAGAATCGAACTTTCAATTGATCGAAGTAATTGAGATCCTATGGATAAAAACATAGTCTCTCTAGATCCCATTAGAGGAAAAGGTTTGTATCGACTCTTATCAAAGAAATACATGATTACTTACTGGGGCAGGCATGTAAGATACGATTGCTCTTCCTTAATAAAACATTAGCAAGCAAGATAAAATTATAATATAAAATAAGATAAATTTTAATAAATTTATTTGATAGTCCCATATAAATTCATCTAATGGCTACCATTGTCCATCTCAAAACTATATATAATCACTGCATGGATTATTCTTAATATAAGTAATATAGCATGTGCACAATATAACAGAGAAGGCGCCTGTAGCTCAGTGGATAGAGCGTCTGTTTCCTAAGCAGAAAGTCGTAGGTTCGACCCCTACCTGGCGCGTTGTTCTTAGGATTCACACTTTCTGTCTTCTATTTTTTTGCCTCCTATAAATCAACTTGGAATCTTCCCTTTTTTGGTTTAATGGTTAAGCGGGGTGCTCCGTACCGGCTTACGCACACCTCGATTAATTTTTTTTTTTTGATCCAGTCAAAAATAGATCATCCACGCCCAAGTCAAAAAGCATCATTTGAGAGTTAACTTGAAAATCTTTACTACTTATAAGATTCACATGTACAATTGTATCTTAAAAGCAATATATGATACACTCTTGGTGCTGGTTTTTATATACTAAGTTGGTAGACCCATTAGTCTATCCAAGATAATTAACGCTATCTTTAGAGAGCGGAGGTTATTGATTTGAATCTTCTATTCAACAGTTATATTAATAATAGTCGTAAAAAATTATTTATATACTAATTTGGTACCTTTTTATCCATTTTGAATCTCTCTTGAGACTTCAATCCATTATTGAGCCAACTGCTCAAACAACAGATTAAAAACTATTTGCCAAATATATGTATTGATCACAATCACAATTCTTCAATCCTGGTGAGCAGTTGCATAATTCTTTATTATGAGACCAAAAAAAATGTCACAAGCAAAATGAAGTGCATAGTGTAACTAGAACGTTTCATGGTTCAAGTTTGCAGAATCTATCGTCAACTTGGAGAATTATGAGACATATCGGTTGCGGAGTTGTAGCGCGGTATCAGATATTACGACCTAAAAGAAAAAATTGAATATGATGAGAGATTCAGGTCATATTACGAAATCATAGAATCTTATCGACCAATTTGGTGACAATTACTCGGCGACTTGAGATTAGCTCGAATACAATTCAGACGACTCCACCGAGTCATGCAAATTTCAAGATTTATACATATCGCGTAACGGTATTATCTCAAAAGGTATCCGACTCGGCTAATACTTTGAACCATACTTGTTCTTTATATTTTGCTTAGGCAGCTTCCTCCTGTTTTCCAAAACACTCAGCTCGAGCAAGCCTGAATGTGGCTTATACGAACCAACACACCTATATTCAGTAAGTGAAGAAGATTCATTAAACCCATTACACCTTTGTCACAATCATAAACTTCAAACGATATAACTAGATTGAAGAAATTCATCACTATATTCAACAGCACATGTTTGAGAACAAGAAATTCTAACCATGGAACAGCTACTGAAACTGCTTGATCCCTCCATTGATCTTAAGACAAATTCAACCTTGCAAATTTAGCCTAACTGTCCCCATAATCTGAATCAACATTACCATGCAACCCAGTGTACAAAGTGACTTAATTTTGTTTAATGTATAGAGAGAAAACGCGTCATTAGAAGTCTGCATTGCTTAAGCAGCAGCTCCAACTGGCACGGCTGCCTTCAGCCTGGAGGAGCCATATAAGGTTTCTTCGAATCTAATGATCTCGTTCTTTGATCCATAAGCTACTTGAGTCCTCTCGTCAAGAGTATTGATCACTTTGTCTAGAATAGACTGCTTGCCATCGCTACTAAATCCCCCGGCTTTTTCAATCAAGAACCCCAAAGGAGCCACCTCGAATAGTAGTCTCAGCTTGGCTTTAGAAGTTGGGGAGATCACGTTTGTGAAGATACCTTTCTCCTTGACAATGATCTGCATATTTCAGAAAAAAAAGGGGGAATTTTCCTAAATGTCAAGCTCCATATATCAAATTAACGTGGCTGAGCCAATTAACCTTGTAATTAAAGTAAGTCTATGTTAAAAAGATCATGGAAAAGATAAAAAGACCTGGTTGACATCAGGCACCATTCCTCCAGTGTATCGCAAGGTGTACTTCTCTCTTATGTAGTAATTGATTAGCTGTTGTTGACAGAATCGAATTTATTTCTTAGTTTACTTGTAACATTGAACAAAAATAGTCATAATCCTGACAATAGAAGCTGAATATGACTGTTGAGAACAACTGAAACCTTGTTATATTCAGGGTTATCAAATGTGGCTCTCAAATTTCCAGGGGAAAATAGTTTTCCTTCTGCAATTTCTGTTGTGTCTTTGACATGCTGCCATTTTCCTAACCACCAACAAAAGCGTTTATAAGAAAAAGATGCATCAAATTTACTTTTGACAGCATTGGACCTTTAGAGACCGAAAATAGTGTAAAAGAATCACCAGTTCTTGTACTGAGGGCAGATATATCCTGTAACATAGAAGTGCCTACATTGTTAAATTCAACAATGTTGTGTAAGAATACCTTCATCAAGGAGGATGAACTCATGGGTGCCAGGGATGTCTTTGAGAGCAAGCACATACGTAGTTCGTGGTCCATAAATCCCCATGGCTGCAGCAACTTGGTCTCTTCCGGTTATTCCAGTTAGCTTATCTCCGGGCCACACCCCAAAAATGGTGCCCACAGTAAAATTTGTGTCCACAATGCTGGAACCATCAAGTGGATCGAAGGCAACGCTAAATCCTCCTAGACATATTCCAAAACAAAAAAAAAGGTTCATGAACATCTTTCTAAAATCTTTCTCAAGATTGTAAATTTTGAATCACAATAGTTGCAAACCTTCAACAGGGCCCCCCATATCTTGGAGCTCTGGGACTTCTTCTGAGCAAGCATATTTGCAGAAGTGTGAATAAGTCAAGGCCTGAGCATCAAGAGTTAAATATGAAATGAGTCTTTGGTCCAATGGTACTTCTTATTTTATGAAAGCTTTGTCTTTTTAAGGTCAAAGGTTCAAACTCCCTTCTCCCTCCCCCTCCCCAAAAAAAAAAAAAGCAGTAATGAACTCAGTTCATGAGTGTATGTCAGGGAACGAGTTTGAAGATGAACAATTGTTTTGGCTTCATGATCATATTTTTTGCTAGTTCTCAGACAAAGAAAGAAGCCAAAACGAAAATCTTAATAGTTTTACAACAATTAGTCAATTAAAGGCACATGTATGCATTGTTTATTAAAACTATATAAATGGGCATCAAATAAAAGGTCAGGGGGACACCAGAATCTCTGGCAGATCATGCACAAGACCATGAAACTCAATGTCTTTTGTTAAGCCTCGCACTTCCTCAACAATCGTCATAGGCTTAATTTTGCAGTTGCATAAACCTTAGCTAATATCACAATTCACAGCTGCAGATTGCCAAATGAAGTATGTATTTGTAAACCCTGCTTTTTATAGAAAATGTGAAAATGAACTGTTTGATATCATTATAAGAACAGAATTTCCCACTTTTGTACTTTTAGTCCACTAACAAAGCACAAATTCGACATGAGCTATTGAATTCATTCACGCAAAATTCTTCCCAGATGCTCTCATAAAAGCACCAAAAAAAATTTAACCGGTTTTGTTAGAAAGAAAGATTCATGAGTTGATGTCTTAACCTCAAATAGAAGCTTGTCAGCAAGCATGTCCACTGCAAGCTGCTCATCCCCAAAGGAATTCACGCAAGCCGTCCCTCCACAAGAAGCTGTTCTCACTTTGAAGGATATGGTCCTCAGTGCCTCTCCCATGCACATCATCAGCCTGATCAGTCCCTTGTCTGGGGTTGCCTTTGTAAGAAACTCTTCCTACAATTAGAAATTCATCGCGCGAAATCAAATTCTCATTATACTCCTCATAAACCAACGTTTTGTATCTTCAATTTCAACATATACATAGATTATTGTCTTATAATTGAAGTAAATATTTAGAGTAACTTACCAGGCTATCGCCAATCTCGCACTTTGTCACCAGGGAAGAGTTCTTCGTCTTTGAAACCTTAAGTGATGATCTGGGCATGATGTGCAAGGATTCCCCGAATAGTGAGCTTGATTTCAAACTCTGCAAGACAACTAAAATGCACCTGTTCATATGTTGTTCTTTCACTAATGTTTTTATACTCTACTTTTCACTTTTAAGTTCATGCTTATGTTTAAGTATTTGCTTACTCAACTCGACAAATCAACAAACGTCTTTCAACTACTTGGGTCAGTTACCTGAATCATGTTTCCTCATTAAACTCTATCAAACCTAGCATGTTGTACAATACATAGTGTGCTCTACTCACTATTAAGAATTAAGTACATATGGGCATTGAAAAATGAATTGTGACCTTGGAGCTAAATGATGGAGAAATGGTCCGTGGAGACACTAAAACAGTCGAGTGTTGAGAAGGAACACTTGGCAGGATCGCGCCACGGGAGTAGCATGTGATGCCAGTCTCCATGATTTTTCTGATATAGATTGGAAGGAATTGAGCTACAACTCCAGGAAGGAGATGATATGCAAGAGCTCTGGCTCTCTTCAAAGGCCTCTTGCTATTGCTAGTACTATTTCTCGCTTGTAATTATTTTTTTTCAGCCTCTAAACTTGTTTTTGGGCATGGGGCACTAACTAGGACTGGGCTAGATAGTAGATTAAGTAGTTATTAGTGTGCTGCCACGTGGCTTCTGTTGAATAGATAGGCTGATTAAAGTGTATGGACTGAAGTGAATTGCCATGGCTCAAATATTTGTGGTTCAAATATCAATGCTATGAAGAGATAAGTGGTCCCCGTTATGTGTTTGCATTGACAAGTTGAGTTTATACCTGAAACGTCTTGTATTTTGTAGACGTAATAGCAGTTAAAGCTCTTTCAAAAGTTTGTGCCCTCCTCCGTATTTTTGGGTAGACATGTGTTTCCGGCCAAAAGTTAACTGGATAGTTCAAATCCAGTATCGGAGTTGAATAATAGGTTAGGGGATACGGGGTATTCCCCGAAGAGTAAATATTTAATATAATGGTGATACTATATTAATATCGTCACGTGATATCATTAACTAATAATAAGGTGGACCCTACTTGGATATTTATTGACTTATATAAAAGAAGAATGAATAGTTATTTACTTACCTATAAGCGATGCGATTTAATCTTAGTCCCACGATTCTTTTTTTGTAATGTGTTGTATTCAACTTAATCTTCTAAAGTTTGGTTTAATGTCTAGAGAAGATTCATAATATGCAGGGGTAATATTAACTTGTACGCTGAAACATCACTCGAATTTTAATTTGTAACCTCAAAGTTTAAAAATATTAATTTGTACCCTAAAGACATAAATTTGTATCAATGTATATCGGAGGTTAACTACCGTCCATTTTGTCGTTAAAAAAGTTTGAACTAATTACAAATTATGCTTCCAAAGTTTAAATATTTTACATTTATGATTTAAAAAGAATTTCATCAATTAATACTCGTTAAATGTCTCTCAATTGTGTGATATCGTAACATTTTCGTGTCGTGTTATTTTGTGTCGTGCTGTGTTCGAATCAATAAAAAAAAATATTTTAACAAAAAAAATATTTTTGTGTCGAGTCAATTGCGTTGTGTCTTTTTACTATTTACAAATTATAAAGTATCTTTTTTTGCTTATAATATTCGTTATATAGCTATTTTCTTTCTAAACTTACGCACGAAACTTTTGATTATCCGATTGAATTAAAATTAGATATGAATAACATAATTTAAGGGATACTGTAGACAAAAAATAGTTATTTAACGAGTATTGCAAGTAAAAAATATGTGTTTTAGAAATTTTTAAAAATATTTTTTTAGTGACTCGAATACGACACAAAAATGTTATGACACGACGCAATTGAGAGTTATTTAACAAGCATTAATAGATGAAATTCTATTTGGATTATAAAAATGAAATATTTCAACTTTGAGTCTATAATTTATAATTAGTCCAATTTTTTTTAATGGCAATTAGTCTCAGGTATATATTGATACAAATTTATTTTTTTCATGGTGTAAATTAATATTTTTAAATTTTGAAAGTACAAATTAATATTTCAGTGATCTTTCACGGTGCAACTTGGTATTAACCCTAATCTGCATATCCATCAAACCCAATTTGGGTACAGCCTCTCCAACCCCAAATTCAATCAATTAAACGAATTATTCATACTTAATATAAAACCGAACTATTTATTATTTTCAATAAACTAGTGGAATCATTTTTAGAATTATTCTGTTCGTACTAATCTATATCTATCCATACTAGTACTTATAAATGTAAGTATTTGTGAAAAAAAATTTATTTTTTATTTTATCCCTAATTATTATACTAAAGTCAATTATACCCCACCTATATACTTTCATCTAATTTTTATTTTTTACTCCTATTTGACTTTTAACTTATTTTGGACTCTTTTATAAAGATTTTTAAATTCTTTTGAACTCATTTATTAGTAGTACAGTTACATAAAATTTTCTATATGTATATAAATAAGTAAAGTCCTATATATATTAAATTATTATACACAAGTAATTACCAATTTGAATTACACGGCCAAATATATATTATATTTTATTTTTTAATATGAAGTAATATAATGATATTATAGGTGATCTGATCAATCTATTTAACAAAAAAAAACTTAATAGTTCTATAATATAATTATATAGACAAATGACTAAAGGGATTTGAGAGATACCTAAATAAATGATAGATTAGTTATACAAACACTTATAGAATAAATGAATAATTAAATTTAGTAATAATTAAAATACGAATTACTTATTAGGCACTTAATTTATTCTTTAATTTAATTACTCATATAATTCAAGTTTTTTATAAAAAATATTATTTAAATTTGTTTACGTGCAACGTACATCGTGCATTGTTAGTATATATAAATGTGTATTGAAGTAATTCCTCATGAATTCTTTAATTATAGTGTGAATGACCTGTCTTTAATCGAATCGAATAGATGAATAGTCGAGATGTGCGTAAATTAGCTCAGATACCCTTGATCGTCGAACCAAAAGATAAAAACTAATAATAACCGTGAAAGACTATGTCCTATGGATGGGTCGAAATGGGGCAAGAAGTAGAATATATGTTATTTAGACTAATGTTTTTGACTTGATCTAATTGTTATATGTTATTGGATTAATAGTTAAACTCATCTATACTATTTATAAATATCAGCATTTGCGAAATTTTTTTTATTTCTTATTTTACCTCTAATTATTATAATAAAGTCAATTATACCCACCTATATTTTTTCATCTAATTTTTGTTTTTTAATCTTATTTGACTTTCAACTTATTTTGAATTCTTTTATAAAAGACTTCTAAATTTTTTTGAACTCATTTATTAGTAGTACACTTATATACAATTTTTTATATCTATATGAATAAATAAATTCATAGACATATTAAATTATTATATACATGTAATTACCATATTGAATTCTACAATCAAATATATGCTATATTTTATTTTTTATTATGTAATAATATATAATAATATTATAAATGATCTAATTAATCTACTTAGTAAAATAAAAATTAATAATCCTATAATATAATTAGTTATGCAAATGTCTAAAACAAATGACAAATTAAGTACTAAAAAAAATTACTTAAAGACTTATAGAATAAACTAATAATTAAATTTAATAATAATTAAAATACAAATTAATTATTCGACATCAAATTTATTATTTAATTTAATTACACATATAATTCCTTTTTTTTAAAAAATTATTAGTTAAATTTATTTACGTGCAATACACGTCATGCATTGCTAGATATCTATCTATATCTATATCTATCTATCTATACTACTTATAAATGTCAGTATTTGTGAAAAAAATTTGATTTCCTATTTCACCCTTAATTATTACCATAAAGTCAATTATGCCCACAAAATATTAACTAGATAAACTTTATTTTTATGATTTCCAAAATATTAGGTAGATAAACTTTATTTCTATGACTTATCAGTACATTTTTCCTTTTCCATTCTATTCATTAAACTTAACTAGAATTCTAATACTACATGGTAAAAAAATTGCTAATTTTTAGTTGATAAACACAACCATTGGCAATTCATTATTTATGTAGATATATGTAGAAAGAGAGAGGTATATCTTATATGATGGCAAAAAAATTGCTAATTTTTAGGTCATAAACACAATCATAAAAAATTCATTATTCATTGATGTAAAATAAAAAATTAGAAGAGTACTAGGGTAAGAGTCAAACTCATATATTTTTATTTCTTTCGTACCTATTAGATTTTTCAAAATATTTCAAACTCTTTTATTAGAAGTATATATAGGAATATCTCTCATTCCTTTGTCTTTGTAGTATTTTTTTTGTTTTCTCTCGGTATATGCTTATTGTCGGTATGGTATTTTCTTTTCTTTTCTTTGTTTTCATCTTGCCAATATCAATTAAAATGGTAAATATAAGTTGAGTTTGACTGTGTTCGTCATATTCTTGTGTATTGGCAGTTTGTACTTGCAGCTTCCGTTTTTGTTTCGTTGTGGCTTGATTGCACACATGTAGTTGAAGTAAGTTATTGCATTCGATTACATATTTTTTCCTTAATGATTCTTATTTTTATTATTGAACTTACCATTGCAACAAAACTCTCTAAAGTATTATAAACAACGGGAATTTAATGGCTTAAACGAGGAATTTGGCTCAAAAGAGAAAAAGTCTTGACAAACAGAAGAAGTATAGATCTTGATGATCTCTATGAAATTTACCCAATAAATTATGTATGTATTCCATTGAGAGAAAAAGGGGTAGCCTGGGTATAAAGGTTTGCTGCTCTATTCGGTGTTCATCTCGCCCCTGCTCTGCTGCGCCTCTTCCATCTCTCTCTCTCTCTCTCACTCTCTGCGCCTTCAATCGGTGAGTTTTGTTTCACGCTTCGCTTTCTTCTTGCGATTGTTGATTTTCTTTGGAGTTGAGACGAATTGGAAAAGAATTGATAGTGTAGAAAATTGGATTTTGAATTGGTTTTCATGTGATAATTCTGTTTTGTTTATTCGGAAAGTGATAGAATATTGAGTCAATTTTTGGTAGGAAATGAGAGAGTACAAAACCTATAAAAATTTTAGAATTGGCACATAATGTGCATAAATTGCTTCTAGTAAATTAGCAATAACTTTTTACATAATTGTGAGATTAGCCGATCAATTGAAGAATTGACACATAGCACTGCACGTTAATAGTTTTCATACACAAAAATTAATAAAAACGAAATATCATTTCACATTTGTCAAACTTAAATTTTTATTATTTATATTCTACTATACGATTATGAAAACTTTATATAGTTCCAAAAATTTGTTATTCTAACTATAAGAAAAAGATAAAACAAAAAAAATAGTTAAAATTTTATTCTTTTAGAATTTTGTGATTGAGATAAATTTTTTTACTAATGTTTGAGAATTTAAATTTTATAAAATTCATTGGATTAGGATTTTACATATAATTCCTTGAATAAAATAAAAGTAATTGTCAATATACTAATCATTTTAGAACCTTACAGTAATTAAGAATTAGTTAAGTCAAATGAGATAAAATTCTTATAAATTCAAGTTTTACTTAAAAATAAACAACAATCTATGACAAGTTTTACTTATAAATTCAAGTTTTACTTAAAAAGTTTATTGTAACTGAACAATTAAACTAATGTAACATAAATTGATTAAAAATCTATACATACGATTATTTTTTATCTTAAAAAATGAAAGGGTTAAATTTTTTGATAAAAAATAAAATACTCATATGTAGACATAATGTTATCTTTGTATATAAGATGAGTAATACCAAAAAAGCTAACCAATGTATACGACAGGTGCGAAGTTTGGAGACAAAGGAAAAAATGTAACCCTATTCTATATTAGGAAAAAAAAAAAAAAGGGTGATAATTCTGCATGGCTGTGGTGCAAAATGGTGGTCAAACTAGGTCAATTCAAAAAAATTCTGCTCTTGAGTTAAAAAAAAATCCAAACATGATTTCAACTCACATAGTACGATTTTTGGAACACGAATAAAACACAACCCAAATTTTAATCCAACTTGGATTGTTAACAACTAGACTTCTTTTCAAGTTTAAAAATTAAAGCAGTTCTTTCCAAGTTTAAAAATTAAAGAACTTGAGTAGCCTCCTTTGTCAAAGTAATTAGGAGTGCTAAGTTTTTTTTTTTTTTTTTTTCATAGTTTCACATTTTTATTGAATTTGTTTAATCTTTGGGCCTTTCATATTTATACGAGGATTAATGCTTAGACTATTTCGGTATTTGATCTCTCTATATTGCATATTGCGTCCTCTTAAATTAACTTATTTTTTCTAAAATATTTCATGTGAAACAACTAATTACTTATAAATGTCTATATATGTGAAAAATTTTAATTTCTTTTTTCATCCTTATTTAATAATGTTAAGTCAATCTTACCCCCACATATCTTATTAAAGTCATCATTTTTCCTTCCATATCCTATCAAAACTCTTCTTATTATATAGCATTTAGGTCTCTAGTTATTCGCTCTACTTATTCTTATAACTTTAGGTTTTGAATTATAATAATAACTCAAATTATTGTATAATACATGTATAAATTAATAATTAAGTTTAGTAAAAATTAAAATTAATTTGCCAACACATAATTTATTCATTCAATTCAATTATAAATATAATTTTTAATTTTAATAAATTTAATAAATAATATTATTTAAATATATTTACGTTCAATGTACGTTATGTATCACTAGTCCAACTTTTATAAAATCAATTATATCCTTATACATTCATATTATTTGACTTTCAAGTTCTTTTGAACTCTTTTATAAATAATATTTGACTTCTAAATTCTTTTGAACTCCTTTATAAGTAGTACACTTATAATTTTTTTTTTTTTTTATGCTTATATTTATATGAAGAAGTAAAGATGAATCTATACTATATTGTTATATACATATAGTTATCAAATTGAATTATAAAATAAAATATATGCCATATTTTTTTAGGGAAATTTGGAGGTCGGTTCTACTATATGGACTTAAATCCGGTAAGAAAACTTATTTGTTATGAAGTCCATTTTTTTGTTAATTTTACCAGATTATCCATTCCTTTTAATAGTAAAATAAAACTAAAAATTAAAAATTTATAAATTTTAAGAGTTTGATTAACATTAAAAATAAAAAAAAATAGTAACATTTAAACATAAAAAAATAGTAACATTCAATATTAATATTTTAAAAAAATAACAATAGTAACATATTTAACAAAAATAATAACACATTCAACATAAAAAGTAATATACTCAACAAAAAAAAAATAGTAATACAGAACATTGAACAAAATTGAAAATAAATATATAGAATTCAAACTCATAACTAGAAGAAGAAACTTTTAATTCTTCAGCATCCAAAAAAGTAATACTAAAAAAGTAATAACATGTTTAATTAAAAATAAAAAAAATGTGATATATGTTAGTAAATTATATTTTAAAATTAATGGTACTAAACTAATGTTATTATGCTAACATCAAATACTTGGCGTGCACTATCGATATTACTTTTTTTAAAATCTCAAGCTCGTACTTCAACTTCAATTTTCATCTCTTTCAAATTAATTTCAAATCTCAAAAATCGATTATTTAAATGTATAAAAGACAAAATATTGACTAAGAATTTAAATTTAAAGTATTATGTAAATGTTGTAATCGAGAATTACCATCATAAATCAAACATTTGTATATTCAACCATTGGCCTCCATATATAGCTATTTGTAGATAATGTCTTCAATTTTTTATAATTGACAAAATTAACACTATTAAGAGTATTTTTGAGATTAAAAAAAAATGTACTTAATTCCTTACTAATAAGATTAAAACAGACTTACTCTTAAATAAATTTTTTTGACTGACTCATGTCATTTTAAGTCCGTCTAAGAAGACTCAGCCCAATTTTCACTTTTTTTTTAATAATTTAGTTTAACAAGAAATAACATATAGATTAATTTTTTGACACTAAATTTATCAATAATTTAATTATACATAAAATTTATATTTTCATAAATTTAACAAAAAAAATTATTATTTAAATTATTAATGTGCAGTGCATTATTAGTATCAAAAAGACACAAACCCCACCCACCTTCCAACCCACTTATTAATTTGTACTATTAAAAATAAAAAATCTCAACTTATACTTTCAAAAATGTAAATCTTTACCAATGTGTACCTGAAATTAAAAGCGTCTAAAATTAAACAAATAAATTATATTTATAACCCTTCATATTTGTCACTTAATTACTTGAATTCATTACATTTAAAATATTACACCTATATTCCAAAAAATTCAAATATGACTAAAAGTGTTCTCCAATTGAGCTTTCAAATAATTTAGTTCAAGTGATGTATTGTATTAGATATAAAAAATATATATAATACTGGTATTTTTTAATATTATATAATATTTGTCTTGTATTGGATATTCAAATAGTAAATTTTATTTTGAGCTTTAAAGTACAACAACCCATAAATTAAAGGATTATATGAAAATTATATTTTTTTATTAGGATGATATCATATTTTTTAACGATTATATTAACGAATATTGATGATAAGAGATAATGTGTTACACACACACAAACACTATGAGGTGTAGGTATAATATTTTAAATGTAAAAATCCAATGATTAAGTAAAAAATTTTAGAAGGTTTAGATGAAAATTATTTATTTAGTTTTAGATGACAAATTTATGGCTAAGTGTCCATGGACACGGATTTATATTTTGATGGTATAAATTAAAATTTTTAATCTTTATTAACCTTTGTATTTAATAATCTATTTCTTATAACTACTTGCCCTTCGCCTCTCTGATCCCGTCGTCTCTCTCCTCTCTTCGACAAAAATTAACGAACATTACCGACCGACGAACGGAGAGCTCCTCCCGGTTAGTCGTGTTTTCATTCTTTCTCTTTTTATTTTTTTAGATTTCGTCTTTCTTCTCCATCTCTGCAATTTTTTTATAAAGTTTTGAAACTGTTTCTTCCCCCTAATTCTTAAAAAAAGATGCTGAACTGGGCTGTGGCTATCTTGGTTTTTTTTTTTTTTTTAAATAGTATTTTTCAATTAAGTTTCCCTTTATTAAGTTTCCAAATATCAGCTTTCTCAACCAATAGAAATCAGACACGACTTAAACTGCAACTCTCACTTTAGGGTTTTTACTTTCGAGCCGTCGCGGAAACGAAAAAGACCGCGAACCGACAGCACCAGAGCTGAACTTGACGAATCATTTCAATCCAAGCTGTGCTCTTTGCATTAATGGAGTTCGGAGCTTGCTTTAGTGTTTCGAATGTCAACCAGGCGACGTCGTACTTGAATCCAATAAACATCAGACATGTACAACGATCGAGAGACCCTCCCAATGATTCGTTTTCTACTTCCACAGCACTTCTTCGCAGAGATTGCGGTTGCAAAGCCACTGTGAAAGCGACCAACAGCGGTATCGAAGCCGTCGAAAAGGTGGATTTTCTGTTAATGTGATATGAAACGGTTCAATTTGCAAGTTTGTATGCCAAGTGAATGAAATTGAGCTAACAATCATCATTAATTCAAATCCATTGATATTATTTTTGTTCTTATATTTGCGGATTTCACTGAAACTTGAGAAGTTTCTGGCATATGATAGAGTATAGTGACAGAATAATGGCATCACCAGATTCATATAGTTAATCTCAAACAATCGAAAAAAGGCTTTGTTGAGTTCAATTTGAGTATTTGATCACCTCAATAGTTCAGTCAGTATGCATGTATGCAAATTTTGATAGATGGATGCAACAAGATGGAGCTTCATGTTTAGTCGTGAACTATGACGAATAATTAATCTTGAATTATCTCAATTAAATCTATTTAACCAACCATTAATTTAAAAATTATAAAGTAATAGATTTATGAACATAAATTAGAAAACGATTGGATGAGAAGGAAATCAGAATAATAATGCTGAGTTCACTCTTTTCATTATAATATATGTGAAAGAACTACCATTTATGAGTTTTCAAAGGGATTTATTTCTTAGATTGCTTGAGACAGTTTACTTCTCTTTTGTAGGTAAAGCAAATGTCTGCTGCATATCATCATAATTTGGAGCTCTCAAGTTTAACAGCTCTGTGTCCTTTGGATGGTCGTTATTGGGGTAAAGTCAAGGAACTGGCTCCTTTTATGAGCGAATACGGCCTTATTCACTTTCGAGTTATAGTTGAGGTATTATGCTAACCTAAACTACTTTATGCAGTGTAATGTGATGAAATGTTTGGATTTGTTTTAGGGAAGCTAAATGCTTAATCAGATTTTTGGTGGTATGAACTGTGAAGCATATATGCGAGAGTGAGTGAGAAAATGGAGAAAGAATGGATGATGCATATGTCAACTAATATTGGTGTAATTTGTAATTTGTGTATTTGATGGAAATGCTGAAAGAAAACTGATGAGGGGGAATAAAGGTATTAGGAAAAGGGATTTCCCAATGATCTAATTTGTAGGCTTGAGGTTGTGGTGGGCAGCCATTTTGTTGGGAGGGATACAAATCACAGATGGGCTTTAGAAGCAAATGAGGGTGTATGGTCTTATATAAGAAGTGGTCTCCTTGGAGGTGTTTGTAAGGTTGATGCTTCTTTGCATGAAAGAGTCGTTTTTGACTTGATGGTGTTAATAGGGTTTTTTTTTTTGTATTTGTTGAGGAGATTTTTTGGGGGGAGAGATGCATCAAATGAAGATGCGCATTTCCTACTGTCTCTTTTCTATCATGTTTCGCTAGCCGGTTTAGCTTTAGGAATTTAGGCAAGGGATGTGCTCCACTTATCTTTTTGTTTTAGTGTTGGAAGCTTTTAGTAGGATTGTGAATAATGTGGTAAAAAAATGCTTTGGTGGGTGAAGGGGGGAATCAAATTTGGTTTTCCATCTTGATCTGCAAAGAATATGACAATGTCTTGTGGTGCATAAGGTGATCAAAGTTGGCATTTCGGGGGAATTAAGGTAGCTGCCAGATAGGTGTCCTCTATAGGTAAAAAAACAATGCCAAAGAGCAGCTTAGATATGGTTGGGTCTGCAATGGTAATCGTACAGGGTTGGTCAACACTCTAGTGGTGAAGTGGTAGACTGCCTTTTATTGTGGCTTGGTTTGCTTTTTCAAGACTCTTATAAAACCAAGGTGGTGTTGGAAAATCTTATCATTTCCTTGGCTTTAACTTCTGTTGAAAGCATTCTTTAAAAAATCTGCCAACATTGAACGTACTTTTATGTCGCTCTTTAAAATCCATCCCCATTGCTTCTAGGTTGGCATTTGCTGAGGGTTTTTTCTACATGTTTTGGAGGGGATTAATAATCCTTTCGTGGATAGGAGCTCTATTTGCAACTCTAATCTGTTGGAGTTTTCTTTCGATTACGTTATGTCATGTATGTATGGACTTCCATGGAGATTCCGACACTGCTATTCATGTGTGAACAACTATAGAAACTAGGAAATCCTCTACTTGGTTCTGCTCCCAACTTTTTTGCTTGGTATCAGTGTTTTGAAAAGCTCGCCTAGGCGAAAAGCGAGGCGAGGCGAGTTTATCTCGCCTGGAGGACCCCAGGCGAAGCAAACGTGAGCGAAGCGAAAAAAAGCGAAAAAAGCGAAAAAGCGAAAAAGCGAAAAAGCGAACTCTTTATTATAAGAGGCGATTCTGCTTCACTTTTTTTTTTTTTTCTGATTACATGTTAGTAGTCTCTTTTATTTTTTAATCACTAATGATTTTTTTTTAGACTATTGCTGGTCTATTTTATTTTATTTTTTTTCTAATAAACAATGTTTCGAACAAAACACATTCCTTTTTTTTTCCTTGTGTTGCTGAATTCATTTAGAATATTTGTGGGATGTGGGAGTCAGGCGACTGCATGACAAAATTATGATAGAAAAAAGAAGCAGGAGTATCAGGAATGGGGGTAAATAATAGAGTATTCTACAAAGAAGTGTTTCTGATATATCTTGGTTATACTTTTCCCTTTTCTTATATATATACAAATGGTACCAAAAAGTGGTATATGCTTATACCATGTTTAATTATTTTAGTACATGTGAAATGTGCCTCTGTTCTGGTTTTTTTTATTCAGTACATAATTACATATGAAATTGTTTACAATTGATTCTGCTCCTGTCATGATCATTGTGCTTCTTTTTTTTTTTAGCTCATTCTGTTTCTATTTTTTTTTGTTGATTCTGTTGCTGCTTCGGTTTTGCTGTCCTGTGTTGCTTCTGTTTTTTTTTATCCTCATTCTGCTTTTTTTTTTTTTTGTTGCTGATTTTGCTGCTGTCTTGATTCTACTTCTTTTGTTGTCCTACCCTGTAAATATGAAAATATATACAATTGTTAGTATTTGTTTGAATTTAAATGTTTAAGTTATGACTGTTATTAAGATTTGAGATATTATTAGTGTTTGTTTTAATTTAAATGTTTATGGTTTTACTTGCATTTAAATATTTAGTATATATAAAATTAGAACTTAGATTGTTTAGAAGTAATTAAACTAAAATATATATTTTTTTTAACTGTTCGCTTTGCTTCGGTAAAGCGTATCGCTTCGCTTCTCGCTTCTCGCCTAGGCGTTAGGAGCTTTGGTCGCTTCGGTTCGCTTTACGCCTTAAATAACACTGCTGGGTATCTCCATGTATTAAATGGCACATGTTAGAGTTGTATGCGCAAGGGACGATTTCATAATGGACAGGTTGAGCTAATGTGTCATGGACATCATGTTCCATGTTCAGTAATAAGTAGCATGCACCAGGACAGCTCCTCAACAAAAATATTTTTGTCGGTAACCTAGTGAGGAAACAAAGAATGCAGTAGTTGATCAGTCATGTACCAAACTTTTGGCATACAACTACATGACACCTCATCGAGTGACTTAGAGAAGTTGGTACATTTTGACACTAGTGCTTATTGGAAAGAGTTTTGTAACTTGGCTGGAGTGACGTGGCTATATAAGACTAGCAGAGGGCCAAGCTATGTACAGTTCTATGGCAATTTTTCTTGATGGAGAATTTATTGGTTGAAATTGAATCATTGAGATTAATGAGTAATGCTTCTATCCTTGTAGTATATTCTTTAGTTCTTTGTTTTTTCTGGGGATGCAGTACTGTTGTATTTCTTAAAATTTCTGTTTCCCTCAGACTTTCATGAACAGCTGTATCTGCTTCCTACCATGAACTAACGATCTCTTTGTTTATTTCCTTTTTGCCTTCTGTTTCGCCCCTAAGGGCGTAGCATTTCTTGATGTTTTTAACTGTGGTATAAGCATTTTTTAATACTAAACTCTCTGTCAGATCAAGTGGTTGCTAAAGCTTTCGCAAATTCCTGAAGTGACTGAGGTTCCAAGCTTCAGTAAAGAAGCTCAGTCTTATTTGCAAGGCTTAATTGATGGATTTAGCATGAGTGATGCTTTGGAAGTTAAGAAAATTGAAGCAGTGACCAACCATGATGTGAAAGCAGTGGAATACTTCTTGAAACAGAGATGTCAATTACATCCAGATATAACTAAGGTATGATTAATCCCCGTTTCATAAGGTACTGAAATGATCTGTGTATTTTCTGGAAAAAAGCTAAAATAACCGGCTGTAGTGCATTTGACATAATGTCATTGCAAGGTTGACTATTCACTTGCATTGCCTTAGTGATGATAGACTTATTCTTTGAAATTTTTTGGAGGGTCTAATCTTCTGTGTGTGTAGGTGCTTGAGTTTTTCCATTTTGCCTGCACATCGGAAGACATCAACAATCTTGCCCATGGTTTAATGCTGAAAGAAGCACTGAGCACAGTCATACTTCCAGTCATGGATGAATTGATCACAGCAATATGTAAAATAGCTACAGCAAACGCCCACATGCCAATGCTTTCTCGCACTCATGGACAGGTAAAAATGTTATAGGGTATGTGCATGGAAAAATTCCTGTCAGGGGTTTTACTGTATTTATCGAGGGTCAGATATTTGAGGTTTCAAAACCCTCCATCCGAGAAGTATCAAAGAAAGGGAGCTGCTTCAGACCAGTAATTTCCTTTCCATGTACTACAGAGATTTTTTTTGAGGCCTAGCTAGGATTGGAAATGATCACTCCAATTATGTTGGGGCCGGGGTTTTGTGGGGGAGAGATTGGTTTTAAATTCTTGTCAGACCAGCCTTAAGTTGTGAACGCTGGCAGATGTTTCGAGTTTGACGTTCATTTGAAATGTGCATACATTTCAAAAAACCATTTTTTTCATTATATTTCTTAGATTGGTTGTATGAACTCGTTTCGTGGGTGGATCTTATCAATGTCCCTAAATGATCAAACATAGATCAAACTGTTGAATCGGCTCTTATGGGAAAGATGTTGGACTCCTTTCTGTTTCGACAATGCAATAGAATCAATGTCTTATTTAGTTTGGGTATAAAGATTATCATGAATGAATCACCATTTTGTTTATCCTGTAGCCAGCTTCTCCAACAACTTTGGGGAAGGAAATGGCAATTTTTGCTTACAGGTTAAGCAGAGAAAGAAGAGAAATCTTACAAACTGAAATATTGGGGAAGTTTGCTGGTGCTGTTGGAAATTACAATGCACATGTTGTTGCATATCCTGATGTTAACTGGCCAAAAGTTGCGGAGGAGTTTGTGACATCTCTTGGAATAAGTTTCAATCCCTATGTTCCCCAGGTTCGTTTCATATACTAAATATCTTCTGACTTATGGTTTTGTTTTTCAGATTCATTCTTTCTCTTTCCCACATTGTTTGAGGGATTTATTTCAGTCAACATAAACAAGTGCTAGTTGATAATTCTGTAATCATATATTCATGTCTTTCATAAACTTGCTCTCTAATTGGCTCGCATGCTCCACAACTCTGTTTTCTTTTGAATGCAGGAAAAAATAATCTCTCTCTTGCTAGTTTTGACTGGTCTTCAGAAGTTAGTTATTTCTAGGCTGTACTCGATTCGTTAATTAGAGTAAAGCAACATTTTAGAGCTTGAAGGAAACATTGAATTGAAACTCTCTTTCAATAAATGTTTGGGCAATTAACCCTATTCAGAAGAAAATGCTCGTGAGAAAATGCTTTTAGAGTGAGGGCAAAATGTGTGTTTGGCATTCTGAATAAACAGTGATGGAGGGCTTATTCATGGTTTACTTGTTCTGACTTATCAGCTTTGTTATGCAGATCGAGCCTCATGACTATATGGCCAAACTTTTCCACTCCATCATCCAATTCAACAACATATTAATTGATTTTGACAGAGACGTATGGGGATATATTTCTTTGGGTTACTTCAAGCAGGTGAGCATATGATGTCCTGTTTAATGATTTACTACTGTTAGTTTTTACAAGAAAACCTAAATTAAAACGTAATTAAATATTGAGCAGATAACTAAAGATGGTGAGATTGGGTCTTCGACAATGCCTCACAAAGTGAATCCTATTGATTTCGAGAATAGTGAAGGCAATCTTGGTATGGCTAATGGAGGTCTATCCCATTTAAGCCTGAAATTACCTATTTCACGTTGGCAGGTATGTATATTTAGCTATCTCAGGTTCAGTTATGGCATGGGTAGGCTTAAGGTTTAAAAATATATCGTGTCACAAATGAATGACATCAAGTAGATATCAAAATCTTATGTGGCAGTGCAGGGATTATAGAATGTGGCATTATTGTAGTAGAGTGAGGCTTGCCATCTTTTCTGTAATAAGAGTTGTTCGTTATGCTTCTTGTTTGCAGCGCGACCTGACTGATTCAACAGTATTGAGAAACATGGGTGTAGGATTAGGGCATTCACTTCTTGCTTACAAAAGTTCATTACAAGGAATTGTAAAGCTTCAGGTAAGGACTATGATTTTATGTCAACTTCTGCTCGTAGAAGGTGCATAATTACCAGAATTATACATCTTGTTTATCTTCATGGACGCATTAGCGACTGACTTTTGACGGTTGTATAATCAAATGGATATCTCTATGAGAAGTAATCTCTTATTTACAATCTGACGATCTTAGTTTATGCTTAGTTGCTTTAACAGGCAACATAGCATTACCAATGGGTCCATTTCTTTCATTTCTGTTTAATAATATTTGGTAAGCAGAATTGGAAAACTTAGATTGCTCCTAATTTGGGCATCTTCCTAATTGAATTTGAACTGCTGTAGGTCAATGAATCTTCCTTGACAGAAGACTTGAACCACTCGTGGGAGGTGCTTGCTGAACCGATACAAACTGTATGTATTGTTCTTGTAGATTAATTTTATATGTTTGCTTTTAGTTTTTCTCTATTTTTTAAAGATTAATGCCCTGATTATTGAGAGTTCCTCCAATCAGTTGCTTGGAAGGGCAGTATCTGATATGCTTTGTATATCAGGGACTTAACCCTGTAGTGAACATGAATAGGTTTTTTTAATTGCTTGAAATCGGATAAGAAAGGCACTATTTCTTCTACTGTTTAATTTCTCTAGTCCTGTCCTACAGTTTAATGCTTTCAGCACTGGTAAGCGCGAGAGTTCTTTGAGGTTCTGAAATGACTACATTTTATCCTGAATCTGATGTAATTCTAACCAGGTTTTATACATACATATTTACATATCTAGGTGATGCGAAGATATGGTGTTCCAGAGCCTTATGAGAAACTAAAGGAGCTAACCAGAGGCAGAGCAGTTACCAAAGAAAGCATAAGAGAGTTCATCAAAGGTTTGGAACTACCTACAGAAGCCAAGACAAATCTCTTGAAGTTAACACCCCATACTTACGTTGGGGCAGCGATTGAGTTGGCTAAAAATGTGGATATGGCCATAAATTTGGTTAATGGAGCTAAGGCCTTTTGCTAAGGGAGATAAAATGTTGATAAAAAAGCATAGCTTTGATCTGCTACAGCTGCATTCAAAGATTTAACTGGCGTGCTGCATTGTGAAATTGACAAGCGATGTTGCTTTTATTTTGGAAGGAGAAGGAAGCAAACCCTTTTGCTTGGTAATAGATCGTTGAGTGTAATTTAAGCTGACTATGCCTATTGTTGAAGAACTGAGGTTGAAGTTTTGTAAGCAATTCTTCTCTTCTCAATACCCAACTATAAGTTTATCTCGTGGTTTTATAATTATCAGTTGTCCCTTTTTTTTTTTTTTTCATGGTGCTTGAAATGGGATATGTAGGTAAATTTTGGGTATTCTGAGTAGGCTACTGAGCCAATCCACGCGCCGTGGGCGTTTTTGGTTTGTGAATGAGAGATCAAAACCGAGCTGAGTAGGACATTGTCTCGTAGGATTTAGATGTCTGCCATTACATATTTCACTCAATAGCCAATCATCATCAATGTATGGATGATTTTGGGTACGTTACGTTTGTGTCCAACTTTGTCTGTAATTAGGGGGGTGTTAATTGATTCAATTTGTAAATTTTTGGGTGTGTTCCTTCAATTAAGTTTAATTATCGAGTTTATATTCTTCTTTAAGCTTAACTTAGTAAAAGCTTGTGATCATTCGAGTTAAAAGTGAGTTCACTCTCAATATTGTAAAATAAAAATTAACCTAAAAACTTAATAATAAACATGAGGTAATTAATTTTCTATCAAAATTTGCATAATGAAACATAAATCAAATCTTTCAGCAAAGATTTATTAGAGAAGAGAAGTGATTGAAATATATTACCCTATTCAATAGAGGCTGTTTGACTTTAGAAATAAAATTATTTATTTTATACAAACTTATTTCAAACGAGTCGAATCATGCATTGCTTGGATTCGATTTATAAATAACTTGTTTACGAGATGAACTAAAAATCTAATCAAATCTAGTTTATTCTATAATGTAAACAAATTCATACAACTCAACTCAATAAAATTTTATCTCAATATTTTTTAAGTGGATTATAGTATTTTGTCATTGAACTCTAGTAAGAGTCGATCTTTTAGTTAAACAATAATTTATCAAATAATTTTTTTACTGATTTATTTAAATTTAATTTTGATCTTTCCCTATTATATTTATTGTCAATAATTATTGTATCACTCGTTCCCACCGATACCGTAATAAATCATCTATAAATATATTCAGAACGCCTTAATTTCGTACATTTTAAGTGAAAATTGTATTCATAATTCTATCTTTTTTAATTTTATGATATATTCATCTTAACGTTTCTTATTTCTGCTTGACTACTCTGACGTCCACGTGTTCAGATACTTTTATCAAAAACAATATAAAAATCTAAATCTCCCGCGTCTATTATGCAAAAACGAGCCCTAAAACCCTCTTCTCCCTCAATTCTCATCTTCTCCGAATTTCTAATCATCGGTGATTGTTACGTGTCCTCCGGGATGATTGGTTCTCTCCGCGATCGCCGGCTATTTGAATTCGCCCCTTTGACGTGTATGTGTTTATATGTATATGCAAAATTCCTGTGAATTTGAGTTTATTTACATGATTATCAATTGAATTTGAAATTTTCTGGACGGTCTGAAATTTTGCAAACTAGTTCGATTTTGTTTCACTTGGTCGGATATGTAGAGTTCTTTCTATAAGTTGGTTTGGTAAATTGTTCTTCCTTGGTGATGAGATTGGAAATCGTTTATATTGATTTTGATTTGATTTGATATGTGGTTAACCATGAGAGAATATTTGAAATCCTTGTTAAAGAGGTTGATGAAAAGGGTTGGTTGTTGGTCTGTGTCCCCGTGTAAAAATAGATTATTGGATTAAAAAAAATAACATCCAGTTTAGCCCCCATTAATGGGAGTTTGAGAATTTTTGAAGAAATTATAAGGTGAGGTGAAAGATAGAGAAAAAGATAAACCGAAGGGGTAGCTTAAGTGATAACAGGGACGAGTTGTAAACTCAGAATCGAATCTTGGTAACCTCTAGGCTTTGAGGGATTTATCTCTCATTAATTAATACCTTAGTCCTAGTGTGGTGGTGTGGATTATGTGCCATTGACTGTACTGAGGAGGAGATTAGTCGAGGTGTGTGTAAGCTGGCCTGAATACCTTGATCGTTCAAAAAAAATGATAGAGAAAAATACACCAATGTAGATCATTCTAGAATGGACATCAAGTTGAGAATGCATCATAAAATTGATACTTGGAAAAGGTCATATGCATAATTTTGTTATGTATACTGCTTTGATGCTCTCACAATGCACATTTATCGACTGGATTTACATCTGCTCTGAAGCATGACTGCCTTCTTACCTAAGTGCACCAGACACACACACAAACACAGTCACACAAGCCAATGAAGTAGAAAGGACTAGAACAGACTATTACAACAGAGGTCAAGAGTACATGTAGGGGTCAGATATTTAGACACCCAGGACTAGGTATTTATATTCATATTGTCCCTAATAGGTGCCTGGTCCAGAACTTAATTTAGGGACATCTTTGTATTCGACATCGCTAGGGAGGAGATTCCTCTTGCTTTCCTTTTCCTTTTTGTGTGTGTGTGGGGTTGATAAGAACATCAAGAAGACGATTATTGAGATAGTCGATTCTTTTAACTAGCAATCAAAGAGAATTTTGAAAGCAATTAGGGAAAATAGGGCTTCATAAGAGCTCCAATCGTGTCAAAAATGGTGACAAGCATGGATCATATCTTCATGGACAAAACAACATAAACCATTGAATGCTTAAAATGAGAGGGAAGCTTTAGAAATCTTCTGCACAAATTATTTATTACTGGGATGGATCATACAGTTGAATTATCTGTATCAAGATTAGTTTTGGCATTGCTACTCTTGATTGGAGCTCATTTAGTTGGCATGATCATATTGATGAATATGTTGCCATGCATGAAAAGGAGGCATTGAATTCATGCTTCTTGACTTGACCTAAGCTGTGGCCTTAGTTATAGTTTTCTTTGCAAAGAGGCATAAAAGTATTGCTCGAATGACCATCTTATACAACTTTTGTTCTGTTCCTTCATCAGTGACCATCCTGTTCTTCCTCCACTGAGAATACTTGGCCGCTCTTTGGGATCTGATAATTTTGGTGGAAATCTTCAACCAGCGGTCAGAAGGTGAAGTTCCTCGCCACTGTTTATTGATTTTTTTAAAACACAATTTTCAAAAGATTTCTTTAGTTTGAGAATTTAATGCAAATATCAGTGCATCTTGTATTTTTTTCTTTTCTCTTGTTAGTTTAAAGAAAAATCCTTTTGAATAACTGTGACAGACAAGCCTGCTTCATTTGACACAAAGTACAATGGAGATGGCAGTGAGAAAGTGGAAAGAACGTGAACCTGAACGGATTATGAGGAAGAAGAACAAGGTTGACCTTTTTGCATATCTTCCTGATGACATTCTTTTCAACATCCTGATTTTGCTTCCAGCTGAATTACTCCGGTACAAATTCAAGTACGTTTGCAAGCGATGGTTTAATTTGATCACCAATCAGATTCTGTTTGACCAAGCTTCTTTAATTATCCAAAAACCAGTCGATGAAGGACAACATGTGTATAAAACACGTGTTGTGGATATTAATGAAGGAATACTAAATTTGAGGATGAAAGAGCAATATCTCGACATACCTTGTAAAGGACGTATTAGGTCCTGGTGTAATGAATTACTTTTAATATCTGACCCTGATAAACTTGGAGCTCTTTATATTTACAATCTCATCACCAAAGAAGGGTCAACTCTCCCCCCATGTTCATCAAACTGCGGTGGACATGTTGGATGCAAGTGTGGTCTGGGTCTTGCATTTGATAAATTCAAGGGAGCATATAAGGTAGTTCATGTATCTGTTGGACTGCGGTCAATTTCTTGTGAGATATTTGTTTTGCAAAGTGAGTTATCATGTTTTGATCGCTCGAAGTGGAAAAAGATTAATGGGCCTTCTTATGTAGGGCAAAGGCACTATTACTGGGATGACCCAGTCTCTGTGGAAGGCAGGTATTTTCACTGGGATGTTCATTCTCCTGAATACATAGTTTCCATGGATATGGTTAAAGAAAGGTTTCGCCGAACGCGTCTTCCTGAATCTGGTAACTCTTCTGTGAGCAATATATACTTTCTGCTAGAGATGGGTGGTTTTCTGTCTCTTTTACTTCCAGTTTCTGGATCCCAGGTTGACATTTGGATTTTGAAGGATTTTCAGAGAACAGTATGGGAGAAATTACGATGCATAAGAAACTTAAGCTATGTGCCGTCCAAGATATATCCTGGTAGGATTTTTCCTGGTCCCATTGTTTGCTTGAGGAATGGCAGTAATATAATCTTTATGAAAAGAGGTACTGAGCTAGGTTTATTTGGTTATAGTCTGAAATATGACTGCATGGACAAGTTAAGGGTTCGAATTGGGGCCGATGAGCGCTGCTTGGTTCATTCAACTGCCTTGGGATTTTGTTAACTGAAGGCCAACTTTCTACTTGGAAGGGATCTGAGTTCTGGGACTTTTTTTGCCTGCGATCCCCTTTTATTTTGCTGGGAATGGTCTTGTGGATTGTTACTTGTCAAAATTCTCATGCTTTTAGCCTGCTTGTTAAAGTTAAAATCCTGTAGGAAAGGAGTTAATATTTTGTTTAACTTTAAGTGAAATAAAAGTTTTGCCCCTGATAAGTCCTATTATGTTGCATGAGATAAAGAGATAGATTTCTTTCCAGAGCCAATTTTGATTGCGTTTGGTTCCTGAGTTTCCTTCTTTCTATGTTTCAGCGACTATGTTGTGATTTTTTGCAGCTATTGCTCATACGTTGTCAATGTAGAATCAATATTTTCTTCATTGTTTGTCACTTATGATGCTGTAAGAGGTTTACAGGGATTCCTTCTTTTGTCACTGAATCAGCAGCTTATGATCGGTTCTTGTTTTTGAAATGTGGAATCAAATCAATCCAACTTCACACATATTTGGTTCGTATATGATTGGCTTGATTTATGTTTTTTTTTTTCATCTTATCTTTTGGTACTGTTTTTTGAAGTTACATGGTTAGCAACCATATAACTCCATTTCCAATTAGACAAACTTTGCAATATAAGGAAAGTTCGAAAAACGAAAGTATATTGGAAAAAAAAAATTTGGGAAATAATTTCAACATCATATAAAATTATAAAAATATTGAGAATTGGTTCTTGGGTTGGGTCAGTTACCCACCCCAAACAACTTGAAATCAACACAAAAACTAAAAAAAAAAAACAGTTCTCCCTTTTCAATCCAAAACCGAACTAAAATGTTAAAAGAGCCAAAACAAACCAAATAAATAGGAAAAATAATTCACATCACCACAAGCAAAACAAAGAAATAATAGCACAAAATACCCCCAAAATTACAATTTTAGCTGGGAGAGTCAAAATGAAACAGTGGTATTGTCCTGTTTTCATAATGCTCTCAGAACCTAAGTATAATCCTTCCCTAAAATTGGAGTTCTCATTTTCTCCTAAACCATCTTGTTGGGGTAAAGGGTGGCTAGTGATTTTCATCCCTTGCAGAGAGTGGGGATTGATGATATCCTGGTCAGATTTCAAAGTTTATCAAAACTGGATTTAGACATGACAACCAAGAAACACTGCCTTATCCAAATCAACTAGCGGAACTCTCTGCTTCTCTAACCAAGCTGCTCAGTCACAGCCCAGTAGACACATGCATATTCACTCAAGGATTTAGCCCCTTCACTTTTTCTTCTTTCTCAGGTCTTCTCAATGTTATGTTTTACTCTTTTTACACAGCCAACTTTGTCTATTGCACAATCGAACTTACAGATTCATAAATTCAATTATTTTCTAAACCATCAAATGCAACAGACTAGTGCAAAATACAAATCAAATTCAGAAACAACAATTCAATAGCTATCGAAAAACGGGAAATATGAAAACAGATATGGCTGCAGAAAAACAGCATTTCTTTACACAAATTCCCTCACCAGTTGCTCAAATGTACACCTCCACCCTCAACTACAGAATGAATTAGCCAAAAATCAATAACTCTTCAAAGAAGTTTCCCTCCTAACTAAACCCTATTAACATCAACAAAAAGCATATTTTCCTAGCAACAAACTAGAACTACTAACCCTGAATTGGGTTTTCCACTGCTAAATGTAGAAAGAGTACTCTGAATCTGAATCCATACTAACAGCATATGGAAAGAGTGAAATCAATTTTACCATGTCTACTGGAGCAGCAAAACACCAAGCAACAACCCCAGTATCATCCCTATCCGACCTCTATTGCCATGAACCCTCTCTGAATCTGAAAAGGCAATATGGTATTTCATCGTCAAATTCGGATATAGAATCCCCCAATGTGGGTCTCTTTCACTCCCATTCTTAACATCTCCATCATCAAATAACTGATATATGTAAGTCTGAGCCACCCCTTCCTTCCTCAGTGGCGTTCCAAGTCCTGATCGAAGATGCGAAATCAACCCTTTAAGGTACATCTCAGTGTAAGCCTGAGCTTCATTAGGGTCGCTGGAGCACGGCCACCCGGTCTCAGTAACGATCAATGGAATGTTTTCGTGACCCGAAACAGCCATTGCCGCAATAACAGCGTCCACCATCATGTCAAACAAGTTCCGGTACCGGACGCCGGTCAAGTCATCGTCGCGAAAGTTGAAAGGATTTTCCTGAAACAGAGCATACCCAAGTGGGACTTCGGAGTTGAGCTTGAAGACATTGTAGGGGTAGAGCTTGATCAAGAAGGATGAGTTGGTTTCTTCCAAGAACTGGAGGAGAGGCCTGAGGACGAGTTCGTGGATGGGTTCTTGAAACTCTGCCGACGATGGTGGAAACGACGTCGTCATTACGTCAATGAAAGAGAACGTGGTCGAAACGGCGACGTTCTTGATGCCGAGGTCTCGGAGAGAGAGGTGGACGTTTCTCATAGCCGGAAGGAGATCGGTAGGGTAGGAGGATGATGTAGAGATGGCATCATTGCCGACGGAGATGGTGGAGATGTGGGAGCGAGGGTAGAAGGGGACAACATGGGTGTAGAGCCAGAGGGAGGCGGCGGAGCGATTGGTGGCGAAGGAGGAGATGAGGTGGTTGGGGATGGAGAGAAGGAGAGAGATGTTGGAGTAGGAGAAGGCGCGGACCACCTCGGGAGTGGGGGAGGGGAGGCTGACGGCGGAAATGTGAAGGGATTGGAGGGCGGTGGCGACTTGTTCAGGTGGTGGAAGGTTGGGGGATGGTGTGTAGGTGACGCCGATGGTGGTGGTGGCCGGAAGTGAGGTGGTGGAGTGGAGAAAGAGAGAGAGGGTGAGGAGAGAGAGAGTGAGGTTCTTGAAAGGGAGAGCAGTCATGGTGGTTTTCTTGGAAGTGAAGCAAAGTGAGTGGTTTGTTGATGGTTAGGGTTTTTGAGAGAGCTTGGTCTCTGGGTTTAAATGGCGTTGTGTGTGAGAGAGAGAGAGAGGGGGGGGGGGGAGTCTATGGAAGACAGAAATATGTGCGTAGTGTCCCTTCTGCGTAATTTAGTTGGAGGTGTGAGGCTGATTCAGTTAGTTACAGACGTTGAGGCGGTTGAATGGGAGACGGCTGGGAGGTATTGTATGGTGCATGCGCGTGAAGGGGTTTTTTCTACAACGACTTATCAGTGAACTCCACGTCCCCTAATTGAAATTGTTTGGTCGACCTATTAAAGGGTAAAATCAAGAAAGTAAATAAAAGGGGTCCCTTACTCCTCTTTCTGATTATGACTATTTATTGACTACGGAGAAGCATGTCTTTCGTGTTATTTCAGTTTTGTTTCCTATTATTTTTGATCGTGTTATTTCTGTGTCGTATTATTTTTGATATATGTTAAGTTTGTGTTAATATTCATGTTAATAAAATATTATTTAATTTGACAATAATTAATATAATAATATTTAAAAAATTATAAAATTCATATATTCTATTTACAATACTTATTAAATAATTATTTTTTATCTATTGTACCCATTAATCGTGTTATTCGTGTCGAACTTTAATTTAACTCATTTATTACTCGTATTAACTAATCGTATTATTTTTTAGATTCGTGTCAGATTCAGTTCGAGTCAATTCGTGTTCGAGTCAAAAATTGACACCCCTAAAAAGATGTCGTGTGTAGCTCTATCTCAAACTTAATATCAATTATTTTTCAAGACTTGAGTTTAAGATTGAATACAAAAACAAATTTGATTCATTTATCAAATGAAATAAGTCAAGTCAATCTCAAGCTCAATTTAATAACAAATAAGTCAAACACGAACAATCACAAGTTCAACTCGATTTAAATCACAACTATTAAATCTTTAAAAAACAATGTTATGAAATTTTCATATAACGAACAAGTCAAGCTTGAACAATCACAAGTTCGACTCGATTTGAATCCTAACTACTGAATCTTTCAGGAGTGATGTTATGAGATTCGACGAGAATTCACTCCTATGGTATCTTATTGGGGATCAGACTGATTCTCGGCTCAATGACCAGCGGAGTAAAGTGACAGCATTAATAAGGTCTGCAAAGATCTTTGTGAATTACACTCCAACCTTCCAATAATATCAATTGAGTCGACCAATGGTCGTCGGAGATATATGTACTGTACCTGATTTGAAGTAAGAGGAAGGTCAATTGAACAGCATATCAATCACAATAGATTGCAAGTTCCAAGTCTATGGCTTGAGGGTAGCTATGCACAGTAGAATTTTTTTTTTTTAGCATAACAAATAGCTAGTGATTGGAATTCCCCATCTTCATCCCGAGAAAAAAGACATATATTCCCAACTGGGAGAAAAAACTAGTGAGGAACACAACTACCATAGAGTTACCAGCGTATTCGAAACATTACAAGAAAAAAAACCAGTACTTAATAAATAGGTGATTTAACCACTGTACAAGGGTATATGGATCTGCAAAACTGGCTCACATCAAAACCAGACGTTCCTTTGGACTATCGTGCTCAGGCAACTAAAAATCTTAAGAACATTCTGTATGATCACCGAACTACCTGCATATTCAAACCATTGACATGGCTTAAAATACGACTGAAAACAGAACTTGTTTCAACTACAATTTAGTACCAAGGGACGCACACCTAAAGATAAAACTCCACACACAAAGACAAAGGTAGCAAGTAATGTTAGACACCTTTAAGAAGGTAATCCCATTAAGCTTACTTCAGGTCGGGAATTCATTTTTCTTCACATGCTCACAGGAGAAGCCATTAATGTGCCCAGAAAGGAGGTTATTGTGCAAGTGTTGTTGCCATTCATGATTATGGGGAGCGTTGGGGAACCTGATCACTCTATGTTATTAGAGACCCACCACAGATATTCAGATTTAGTTATGGAAAGTCATTGTCATGAAACCGAGGAGACTTTTACCATAGCAGTATTTCTTCCGCTAAAGGATGGCCCAAGAGCTTTTAAGTTCGGATCATCCTTGTGTTTGTCCCAAGCTGCTTCAAACTGAGGGCCTTTGCAACTTGAGGTTTCAGAACAAAATAATGGCAAAATAAAAATGTATGTAGGTTAGATCTAGAAAGAAGTAGTCGTAAAAGAACCCTCATTGTATGAGCAATGAATGAAGTAGCATAATACTTACTTCTGGAGCAAGGTTAGTATCTGAAAAACAAGAACTCTGATATTTTCCCGAGCAATTTTCAGTGCCGCCTCTTTGTATAGAATGACAAGTTCATCTACCAACCTGGAAACACAGAAATTAACAACCACACGAACATAACAGAAAGTGCTTCTTAGTCAACAAAACAAAAGAAGAGAAAGGGGGAAAAGCATGAATTCCGAGGGGACATGGTAGTTCTTGTATAACTTTGCCAGCAGAAAAAATTAACACCCAGTTTAGGGACATCAATGAGCTTCTGGGAGGGATAGATCGGGTAAAAACCTAACTTTTGACATTATTTGCACAAAGAGGCTGCCCTCATTTTTGAACCCACAGCTTCAATGTTAAACCAAACTTTTGGTATAATTTTAGCAGCAAAAGTGGGGGAAAAAACAACAGCAGTAAAAAAGAGGATCAATCCGGGCTCTAAGAACTAAGAAGTAAACTGAGCAACTGGCTTGGAAACAATACTTCTTAGTTCGCAATGGTAATCCAGGCATTTCTTTCCTGTTTTTCTTCGTTCACGGTACCAAAGGGGAAGATCATTTTACTTTAGCAGGTCTCTAGCTCACCCTAGGTCTGTGTTAGTCCTGGAGAAAAAATAGGACCATATCAACGACTTCATAATTGGCCATTGGTTATGAAGGAATTTGCAAATACACCTCTTTTTGGACCCTTGGTGAGTTGGATGGCTGTTGTGGATGTTAAATAACTAATGTTATTTTTGATGTTTTTGGTGTAGTGCTTTTTGGTTGTGTTGCACTACGGTTGGACAACTTGTCCACCTTTGCTCTCATATTGTACTACATCCATTTTATTATTAATAAAACCTTTGTTTCCTGTTGCCAAAAAAAAAAAAAAAAAAAAACAGTATAGTCAGAATTTTAAGATCATTTTTCACAGGTTTATCATAGGAATCTGATGTAAAGATGCAAATCAGCAGAGGACGAACCAAGATTGGTGCAGTAATTTACTTATTGCATTAAGTAAAAGATGCGCCAATACCCCTTCAATAGGAACAGTTGGTTAATTTATGGAAACAGAAATCGCCCTACATCTTTTTTCCTGATCAACGAAGTCAGACCACTTCTTAAGCTCTCATCATTTAGTAAATTCTAAGTTACATCTGTGGTGCTGCTACATATAATCAAATTCGTATTCAGATGCGATATCAGACAGAATGAAACATTTTATCCCATGGAAGATCCTTTTTTCCCTTCCTCTGAATAAGTAAACTGGGGCATAAATGTGACCTGTACATACTACAGCAGATGAAGGATAATTAATAAGGTCATCTACTTAAACAATAGGAAACATTATTAAGTTTACCTTTCAATATATGGTGAATTCCTTATCCACGTCATCTTTATAACTGTATTTACCCGTTCAAGAACCTGCAAGATAATTTCTCTCTCACTGTCTTGTGCACAGATACCAACTCCAAGAGAATTTACATGTTTTCTCTCCCAATAAATGTTAATAGCAAAAGCACAAAAGATAACATGCATGAAACATCATCCACATACCATTATGTATTTAACATAATAATTTGAATATCTCGTGCTTGTAGAATTGTAGTGGATGAAAACTTTACAAAAGGCACAAATTAAACACCAAAATAAGTAGAAGCTCTCTTGAAGCGTGCATGAGGTGTCCAAAATTTTCTTATGCCTTTTTAAAAACAACTCACAATGCACTACTATAAAACTCTCCAAGAAAACAAATGCTGATCACTTTCTCATACTTTTCTGGAACACAAATTCATAGACATCAAAGCTGAGTAGCGTTGCAAAAGTGCAATAAAAGAATTGAACTCAGACATTTTATTCCTGATAAGTTGTTCTCTGAACAAAAGCATAAAAGGCAGATTTGCAACAGTTGCGACAGCATTTGAAAAGATTGTCGGTCAGCATTTCACCATAAATATATCATAAACTTAGGTTCATTTCATTGCATTAATAAGATCCCTCATGTCATCACAACGGGTCAATTTGATTTTCTCATCATGTACATGCACAACAAAGAGGAGCAGGATTCAACATTCCAACACCTGTCTTTATTATCCACAAACAGCTGTGACATTTAATTATCTCAAGCGGTAAACGATTTATAAAATCAGAAACCCATTTCAGAGACCTTCAATAAAAGATACTTTTTTGCAAAAGATGTAATTATGTCTTACCAGCAGAACAGTGGCATCATCGTCAGCATGCATCCACTGGTAGAAAAGAGGAAAAATACGCCTGAAATGAGCTAACAACACAAGACCCATACTATTGAGAAGTGGTTCAATGTGTTTAAGCCATGCAGTGCGCCGGTCCTTATTTCTTGGTTGTCTCTCTAAATGACTTAACATCTCATTTAGCAACTTTTCGTACCTATAAGAAAAGTCAATGATTGTGAATGATTACTGGTAGAAATGTCTAACACAGTACATTCATTAGTAAGAAAATAAATACATTGCAAATGAAAAAATTAATTTGAAGCTCATACTTCAAAATGTTGGTACACGGACACCAAGGCAACTTAGTGCATTTAATTACAACACAAATTTCTCTGAATCAATTGCCTACAATTACAAACAATTCACTTTTACAGGAAAAGCAGAAGTCTAAATCTCATCCTTTTGTAGGGAAAAACATTATTTCATCCACCATCTCCACAAGCCTCCTGCAGAAGTCCCAGTCACTCAAGAATCCATCTAATGATTCTATGTCTAAACTTCCAAATTGTTATATGTATGATTTCACACAAACACATCACCACCGATCCTTCAAATTTTCATTCTCTCCAGTATTTTATTCAATACAACCAACAGCAATGAATAGAATGTCACAAAAATTCCAATATAAACTATCCTTTCGTCTTAGATAAGTACGAGCCAAAATAAACTGGAATCATAACAGTACATAGATATAGTGTACCATGAACTACGGGGATTACTTTGCTGAATAAAAGTCACTAAAAGCACCGACATCTCAACCACATAGTCCCATATTTCGTCACTTGAAGCAATATTTTGGCAGCAAGCATCAAGAATTACATCTTCGTACCAACCAAGCTCAGCAGCATTCACGTTTTTTGCAAGATGTATAAAGCTAATCATCCCTTGCCCCTGAAATGAGGAAAGGAAAGAATCGCATCAGCAGGTGGAATGGTTGATACTGATCAATAAAGTCAGGATTAATCCAATGCCTTCCTTGCACAGAGACATGAATGGAGTCAGTGGACTCTGCACCACTAGACGTTATACAAAACTTCATGTGGACACCAGAATAACATCATAAAATTTAGATGAGAAAAACTGCAAACATATTTCAGAACATAAAGCAGGAATGATAAAAATTTTAGATTATGTACCGTCCCAAGTTAAATTTTGAAATTAGTTTCCAATGTTCTTAAGTTATTCACTTTCCTCATGTTCTTTATTTAGGACAGAAAATAACATCAATACCTAACAAAAGATATTTGCTGGGTTTGCAGCAAATGCACTTATTGATTCAAAAGGTAACAGGTATTAACAGTTTACGAGGAGAATATAAAGTGGCATTTCTAGGCACAAAATTGAAGATTAAAGGATAGTTGAATCACGCAACAATCAAAATCGTAATAGAATCTCTAGAAATTGGTTTTTCGAAAGTTGTAAAATCCTGACAGAAATTACACCAGTTTGAGAGAGAAAAATAAAATTTTCAAAACCTCACTAATAAACAAAATATGGTGAGGAGTTAAATATTGAACGTTAAGAGTACAACATTGCATTAGACACATAGTCTAAAGAACGTTGAGGGCTGTGATAATGGTATATTTTACAGAGCAGGACGGTTTTTTTTTATAAGCATTACAGAGCACTACTTTATTATACTAATCCAAGGAAATACAGGGAAATGAAAGTAGTTTTCCTTTCACCTGCGAGTTTCTAATAGTAGTTATATACCATTTATGTATTTCTTCTATATCAATTTTGTCACAATGAAAGATAATACTGCACTATACTCCAAGTAAAAAAAAGAATTGGGAAACAAAAAAATTTAGGATAGTTTCATCAAAACTATGGTTCTTCCTTTCAGTTGTATTGTGATGATGAACAAGTTCAGGATNAAGAATTGGGAAACAAAAAAATTTAGGATAGTTTCATCAAAACTATGGTTCTTCCTTTCAGTTGTATTGTGATGGTGAACAAGTTCAGGATTCCAACAGGTCACCAACAAGGAAGCAAACAACATAGAACAAGGTTCAGTAGGAACTGAGGCATTCAAATGCAATGCCAATAAAAACTGACGGTTTATAGAGCAAATCAATAAAATATTATAGAGNGAGGCATTCAAATGGCAATGCCAATAAAAACTGACGGTTTATAGAGCAAATCAATAAAATATTATAGAGCAAATCAATAAAATAACTAAAGAAACAACCAAGCACGCACCTTCACTTCCGTTGACCAGTGATCAAGAGCATTCAGTGCACAAGGTATCACCAAAGAGCACAGCTTTCCCAAGTAGGGATACTTAATCTACCAAAATAAAGAAAAAAACACATTTTCAACAAAAAAAAGTAATCACTATTCGCATCAAAACTACAAGTCTTTACAAAATCACAAACCTGAGTAACAAACCATCTGAACTGATAAGCAGCGACAACTGCATAAGCAACGGGAACCCTAGCTGTGGCAGCCGATATCTCATCAGTGTCCTTCGATTTATCAATCGAACTCTCCTTAATTCTATCTTTCAGTAAAGGCAACACTTGAGGCATCAACTCAATCAACAATTTCTTCTCATCGGGCACCAATTCGAAATCCAAACCCAATTCACTGAACTTCGTCAATGGTTTCGCATTCAAACTGCCAGAAAAAGCTTTAGAGAGCTCTCGAAAAGATGAACTTGCCAGTTCTGGGACTGAATTGGGGATCCATGAGAGTTGTTCGTATGTTGAGGCTTCGGAAGAAGCCAATGCGGCACAGCATAAGCTGAAGTCTCTGATTTTGATGTCTATTTCGGTTTCGGAGATGTTAGGGTTCGATAGAGACTTTCCGGGAGACAGAAGAGACACGAGCAATGATTTGATGGAGACATTTGAACCTTCTGGAGGGGTATAGTGCGTTTTCAACAGAGCTTCTCGAACTGGTGCAGATAANGATAGAGACTTTCCGGGAGACAGAAGAGACACGAGCAATGATTTGATGGAGACATTTGAACCTTCTGGAGGGGTATAGTGCGTTTTCAACAGAGCTTCTCGAACTGGTGCAGATAACCTACAAAATAGAGCATCTAAGAAACCAGATTGATCAAACACACACACACACACACACACACACACATAGAGAGAGAGAGAGAGAGTACTGAATGAGGTCGTGAAGAAGAGAAGAGGTATTCTCCATTCTAGACTCACTGGGAGCTTCTTGGTGCTGCTGAGTATGAAGTATGAACTGAGGAGGTTCAAACGAGTTCAACGCTTAAACGACATCGAAGTGTCTTAATTTTCAATCATACGACATCGTCTGATGGACATCATGTATATATTTTCCAATTTGTACACAAGCAGAAAGGTTAACCCTTTATGTTTTGTATTAAACTTTTTCTAATTCATATTTTTTATTTTTATGTATGATACCAAGAGCCCGTCCTTTATCCAAGTCAAAGTCAAATTTTGCACTATGCTTTTCAAACTCATATCAAATAAGATATATTAGACCATCTCGGATCAAAATTTAAACCTTTATTTAAATTTAAGTAAAAAAAAAAGAGTAAAAAACTTGATTTTGTATAAACCTCTTAAACAAAGAAATTCAAATTTAAAAGAAGAAAAACTCAAATTTAAATAAAAATAAACTCAAATTTAAAAAAAGGTAAAATATAATCATTGTATCTTTAAAGGAGATGTGTAATCTCACCATTAAATATTGAAATTTTAAAAAAAGTTTATCTTGATTTGGATTTAAAAAATAATTTTCCTTCATTTGGTATAGATAATGATAGAATTTTGGAGTGGGTTGCCCATCCTAAACCCAAAATATCTAATGTGCCCAACAGCCCTAGAAACTCCTCCGCAACTCATTTGCTCCGCAATAAAAGAGTGAACCATAATTCAAAGGAGGGAGGCCAGCAAAGAGTCCAACTCGGCACAACCTTGCTTCGTCATAACCAGCTCAACGGTAAGCAATCCGGAAGCAAGGAGCTCGGTATTCATCAGACCCCGAATGTTCCACATAGTACCACGTGTCCAAGGGACCAGGAGATAACTTCTGGAGCTTTTAACGAACGTGTACTCACTAATAAAGGGAATATTTGTGTACATTCTATTGAAGAACCATGAATATGGTTAGTGTCAGAGTAACGGTCACCATTACAAGACAAAAAGGAGGAGACCATTGAATCAGTCGAAGGAAGAAGAAAATCACAGAAAACCCTAGATAACCACTGGTATAAATAAAACACCATTACGCTATGTAAATGATATCTCAAAGAAAAACCTGTACTGACAAGACATTGCTTACTCAAGTTCTAAGCTACGAAACCCATTGCAATATTTTTCTTTAAGTAATACAAACTCTACAGAGTAGGAGCCTCCGTTATAGTGGATGTAATCCTGATCTTTTGGCTAGGATGAACCACTTATATACTGTCTATGATTCCCATTTCATCATATACTCTTCCAAGTTAGCTTAAAATATTCACACTACCCTCCCCCATTTTGCAAAATATTGATTTGGACTTGGGCTGAGGATTATCCAACACCATAAGATATGAACAAGGGTCTAACGTCGGAAAAGTATTTTAGATTATTTTTACCCAAATGTCAATTTACATACAAAAAAGGATAAGGGTTCGAGATGTTTGTTCTTAGAGCATCTACAATAAAGACTCAAACCCTTACTTAAATTTAATTTTAAAAAAATGAGTAAAAAGTTTGATTTTGTATAGACCTTTTCAATTGACAAACCTTTTTTTTAAAAGAAGAGAAATCTAAATTTAAATAAGGATAAATTCAAACTTAAAATAGAGTAAAATATGGTGATTAAATCTTTAAAGTAGAGTATAATTTCACCATTAAATTTGGGTTTAAAAAAATATTTTTTTTCATTAGGTATAGGTATGAGTTTAACATTTGAGAAAAAATTTATGAATTTTTTAACCTTTTTTAAAAAAAAATTTAAAAAACGTAAAAATTGGAGATGGTCTTAAATACTTATGCGTTGTGACCTTGCTGGTGGCTATCACGGCCTCACACGTAAATGCCATCTGCTCTATCTTTCTACTTAGGGTAAGTCAGTTGAGTTTATCAAAGAATCGAAAGCAAAGCGTTCTGTCAGGGCGAAAAACGAAAAAAGAAACGATTATAAAGATAGAAATTAGGGTTTTCAATGCTTCTCTATGCTCTACAAGATGTGTTATTACAACCTCGAGATGTTTTACTGATCAGCTCAAATTTATCTTTGAGATTCATATGAATCAAACTTGACAAATTTATCTTAGTATTAAGCGTATTCTACTTCACCATATCGTGTTACATAATATTTAAACAAAACTCATTAATTTTCATATGAAGATCATTTATTTTCAGCCTTGTGAGGTCACCATTCAAGTACCATTTGAATGCTTCAACTTTTGGTCCATAAAGGGTCTTATAATTTTCTGATTCTAAGTGTGTCTGAGATATGGGGAGCAGAAGCAGTTGCAGAACAAATTTCTTCTTTTATCGTGCTTGCATGTAATAAATGGTCATCATCATCAATCATGGACTGCGAGCACATGCATTGACACTCTTACATGCTATTTGTCTAATTTTGAGGAAGAAATTTGATACAATGAACAAATTTTACTGCACTTTAACTCTCTTAATGAATATTTTCTAGGTTGGTCCCTGTTCTAGCGAGGGTTGGCTAATATCTAGATAAGGGGACATGTGTCATAGTCCAACTCGAGGTCTCTCACCACGTCCGTTATTTTTTGTAAACGAATTTAATTAAGTTAGTATAGCGGTCAGCTATCGAGCCTCTTTATAGACTCCAAAACTCATATCTCCAACTTCAGAGTGAAAAGTTCGACCAATATCTCAATGGATCAGGTATAACATTATCTACCTAATCTCAATAATAAATCACCAATTCACAACATAACTAGAGCTATCAAACACATGTGGTTCATTCAGACTCGAGTTGGCTTTTGACCTAACCCACCAAGTCGTGTGGCAGCTGTACAATTTATTTTTTTTCTTGGTTATGTGTGACCTAAGATGATGAACAGTGTTATTAAACTTAAAAGATTAAAGTATCATAATATAATTGCTATTACACATTCCTTGTTCGATGTCAGACACCCACGTTTATGTAATTTTTTAGAATATACAATGATGTGTTTCAGATATAATATGTAATGCCAACATAGCTGTTTTTGTCACACATCTATTCACAAATCCTATACAAACCCGACCTTGATATTACGTGACTTATGCACAAACATATTACCCAACTGATTCCAAACCCTACATACAATAAAAGACTTAAAAGTAATAAAAAAAAACCACATAGACAAGCTAATAAGATTATGATATCAAAAAATATTTTATTAAAAATAATTATTGTCATAATTTTTTATTACTTTATTTATATTTATTAATTATAAATATAACAAATATACACGTGTTATATTTTTATTGATTAGAAAAACCATGGGATTCAAATATAATTTGGGCAAATATACTTTCAATCTGAAAAATTCGGTCAAAGGGCAAAATATTGGTAAAGCAGGCCTGCTGTAGGGTCTAATAAAGAGTTTTTTTATTATATTATTTATGGATAAGTTATCGCAAAAAAAATTGATATTATATCAAAACTAAGTTATAATCATAAAATTTATTTTAATTTATTTATAATTATAAAAATAATAAAATAAAATAATTTTACACACGTCACATTTCAATTCACTAATATTATTATAGTCAATCTTTTTAAATTAGTTGTTATATTATTTGGACTCATTATTAAATAACATGACAGTTGATTTGAAAGATTGATTAGACTGTTATGTCATTTAGTCTTTAATTTTAATCATCGTAGTACTACTATTTAATTTATTAATATAAATTAATATGCCATAATTATTAGAGTGAATTATATTTTGTATTCTGAAAAATTTTAAGATTTATATTTTATACTTTCAAAAATTAAAATTTTCGCATTACACCATTAATGTATCAAAAGTATTGTAATATGATCATTCTATTAGTTTTTTCGTTAGTATCAATGAATTGACTTTTGATAGAAAAAATAACATGAATTAACAAAATGATCACATTATAATATTTTTGATATATTAAGGATATTATATAAAAAATTTAATTTTTAAATGTATAAAATAAATATTTTAGAATACAAAGTGTGAAAAAACCCTTAATTATTATATATGATTATAAATAATTAGGCGGAGAAATTGTCTCATTGCTCATTTTACGCATGTTGTCTTTATTTAACGCTCTATCCCTATCGTCATTGTCCACTTCGCCACATCCGCTCTCTGCAGAAAGGCTCCAATCTGCTTTTCTCTCTCCTTGTACGTCAAAATCAATTCCTTCCACTAGGATAGGTGCTTGTAAATCTTCTCATTTCGACGCTGTATCAATCACAGTCTTTGTTCCTCATTTCTGACTGGGACTACTTTTATCGGAGTATTGTATTTTCTCAAAGCTCATAGATCGAGAGTTGTTGAAGTTCTCAAGGTATGAAACTCTGATCAAACTAATTTAATCAGTTCATTGAATGTCCGTTTGATTCAGATCTTGATTTGTGCTTATAAATGTTCATATTGCTGTAAAATTGTGGTTTGATAAGACAATGAGAGGTTCGACTTAATTGTTCGTTCTCGCCTCAGATCGGTTCAGATGGCTTGAGTTTGCTTATAAATGAGGGATTGGGGGCTTAAACTGACAGAATTTGGCTTCTTTTTTTTTTTTTTTTTTGTGATTGTGCTTCAGCTGAGGTTGTTTGAGTTGAATCGATCGAAGGTAGGAAAATACGTAGGGTCAAAGTTACTGGTGGCGTCAAAGGGGAAGTATAAGATTCAGATCAGATCTAACGAATATACACGGGCGTAGCTATGTCTTTCATTGGTACGCAACAGAAGTGCAAGGCATGTGAGAAGACAGTTTATCCGGTGGAGCTGTTATCTGCTGATGGAGTTTCTTACCATAAGTCATGCTTCAAATGCAGTCATTGCAAAGGGACGCTCAAGGTATATACACCCAAAGTTTCACCTCTTACGCTACTTTGCGGTATTGTGCTTTCCAGTGTTTGTCCACAGATTTTTTTTTTTTCACACCTCCTTTGTGGTTGGATTGGATGGTGGCATGGTGTCACCGTTACCTTCAATGTTTTCTCCTTCCTTGGATGTTGAAAGATTAAATTTCATTCCTTGTCCTTCCTTCCCCGTATCTCATCCCCACCCCCCCCCCCCCAAAAAAAAAAAAAAAAAAACACATCACATTAAATTCATTTGACCAAAAAAACTAATACATGTTTAACCATTTTACATAACATTCTAGCTTATGATTATGATTGCAAAATAAAGTTTATAGAACCCATTTTTAGACTATGCCAAACCAAAACCTCATCAATAGGGGAGTAGGAGGGAGGAAAAGAGAGAGGTGAAGGAGGATCAGGGAAGAGAGACATACGGTAGTGAGAGAAATGGGGAGCAGGATGCTTTAGAAAGTGGTTTAATATTTTTATTTTATTTTGGTTTTGATAAGGTTAGTAGGGTGTAGGCACACAAGATTTATTTTATGCAAAAATATAGAAACTTATGATTTGGGGTACGGAAGATTCTTGATTATTTATGGAGAACAACATTCTATATCTGATAAGATAAAAAAGCATATCACATACTATGAACAAGAATGAGATTTTTGCTTAATGTTAGAAACCATTAAAACAAATTAATTGAATGGAATTTATATGTTTACAACTTGACCCAGATTTCACATACCAAAGGGCCTATAAAAAAAAAAAAAAAAAAATTCCATTGTTGAAGATAAGTAATTAATGTACATTTTGAATCATTGTCCGAAGTGTTGAGTAGATTGTATGACAAATAAGACCTTTTTTTTTCCAGCTAAGCAATTACTCCTCAATGGAAGGTGTTCTGTATTGTAAGCCTCACTTTGAGCAGCTCTTCAAGGAGACCGGCAGTTTCAACAAGAACTTTCAGTCACGTATGTCTTTTCATGTGTTCCACAATAAAGTTCTTTCTCTGATGTTTTTCAACAGTTTCATATTGTCTGTTTAATTTGCAATGCATTTTTCTTTTTCGACAGCTGCAAAATCAGCTGAGAAGTTGACTCCAGAGCTGGTAAATTTTCCCCACAACTAATATATGCACTTCACTTGAATGAGTAGAAAATCTTAGCTTTAGCTATGGAATATATTTTATCTCGCCCTTGCCATCTCTCATTCTCTCTTTTTTGCATGGATTCTCAGACTAGGTCTCCTAGCAAAGCTGCCAGCATGTTTTCCGGGACACAAGAAAAATGTGCTACTTGTGGTAAAACAGCTTATCCACTGGAGAAGGTACAAAATGATATATTCGTTGAAGAATTGGATATGAGTTTTCTTTATTTCGCAATCTTATACATGCATCCTGGCATTTTATAGGTGAGTGTGCATGAGCAGCGCATGCTGAATATTTAGTTATAATTCAAGTGAATTGTTTGTGTCCTTAATAGGAAGGAACTTGAAGTGATTTTTTTTACAAATTTTGTGTAATACTCGAATCACTTTGTAAGACTTGGTATTGAAAGTAACTTTTTTAGTTGGACATCAACAGTAAGCTAATTGGATTTAAGTTCTATCTTTGCTTAATAAGCAAGATAATCCAAAGTGCTAATGGTAAGGGTGTTAAGGTCAGTCCAGAAACCAGTTTGCTCTCCTTCCATGTATTGGACTACAGATGCATGTGCTTTCCCCTGCTATTCCTTGTGTTTCAATTTATCCTGTGATCCGCTTGGGTGCCTTTGAAATAGTTTTGTCCAAATGCTGGGTGCTGCTTGCCTATGTGTCTGTCAGATATTCTTGTTTTGAGGGAACTTGCATTGGTTTGGCAAGTTTCCTTGCACTGGTGTTTGTCTCTCATTGATTGTCAGTAGTACTTGGCAGAAGGTTTATGCATGCTGTTGTCATGATGTAAACTGCTATCTCACATTTTTGAAATAAAACTTGCATGGCCAAAAATCCGATGATAAAAAAGGCTCGTGATGCAATTTATATTTTGTACCGCCGTCTTGGTTAAGAATTGTTTGACATATGTCTATACAGCAAACTTCTGTTCTTTGAACTTCTGAGGAGGAGTATTCTGTTACCTGTGGTCATGTGTAGCGACTTCATATATGGCAATTGGTCACAATGTTGTTAATAACAATTTTCAGGTGACAGTAGAGAGCCAAAGCTATCACAAGTCATGTTTCAAGTGCTCTCATGGCGGATGCGCAATTTCTCCATCAAATTATGCAGCCCTCGAGGGCATTTTGTACTGCAAACATCATTTCTCACAGCTTTTCAAGGAGAAAGGTAGCTACAACCATCTTATCAAGTCCGCGTCATTGAAGCGGCCAGCAGCTGCTGTTCCAGATGCTTGAACTCTATATCTGTACTTTTTATGTACCTACATCTTCGTGGGCGTGCTTTGTTCGAGTGTGTTTTCCTTTTTTTCTCTTTGATCTGCATGCTGGGAACCTGGCATTTGTTGTTTTTATGACTGGTTTATGCTCTTCCATTGGCATCTTCTTCTTGTTTGATTGAATTTATATATGCAACTTGCCACCATTGTAACCTTCCAGAAACTTCAACAGTTGTGAAATGTCCTTTTGCAGGACTTATGGCCCATATAGCAGAGCCTCGTTTATGCATAGAATTTCAAATGAATTGCTCTTATTGATTTCGAATGTTAAACTTCTTAAGAGTCATTGAACTTTTGCTTTATCTCTAACGCATTGTGGACATTCCCCTCTTTTTTCTGTGAAGAAAAGTAACAAGAGAGCAATTTTTTTCTTTTTTTTTTTCAGTTCAATAGTCAAAGGTGTCCGGGTCAGTTTATGTGAATCTCGACTAATATTTTCTCAGTCCAGTCAAAGATAGGTTATTCACGTCAGGATTAGGGTATTATTGAGGAATAAATTCTTTATGGTTAGGGGTGTCCATTTTTTTTCGAACTGGACCTAGGTAGGGTAAATTCAAATCGTTAGTTAGGTGAGTTATCAAGATGGACAGACTAAATTTCAGGTAGGGGTAGGATTCAATCTAACTTGCCACTCATTGGACGAGCCTACTGAGAGTGTGTTGATGACCTGGTGGGTCCCGATGTGCAAGATAGAAAGAGTAAATGAGTAATCAAAGTTTTTTTCACATAATTTTTTTTCCACCAAACTATGTGTAACCTAATTTTTTCTCACTTAATTATCAGAGTTTTTCAAAATTTTAAATTCACTGGTGTAACTTTTTTCAAAAATAAGGGCGGATGGGTTTTCGGGCCGAATTTTAACAAGAGGGCAATTTTTTTTTTTTTTCAATTCAATGGTCAAGGTGTCCGGGTCAAGTTATGTGAACCTCAACTAATTTCCTATCAGTCCGGTCGAAGACAAGTTATTTATGTTCGAATTAGGGTATTGTTGAAGAATAAATTTTGAGTAATTTGGAAGTTGATACAAAAATTTAGACTAATTTGAACTAAACTATATTAAAAAGATTTATTTAACCTTAAGTGCATTTTTTTGAAAAAAAGACTAAAAAGACCAATTATTACTCCATTATTCTCTCTCCTTCTCTCTCTTCATTACTCTCTCTTCTCTATTTTTCTCTATCTATTTCTCTCTCTTCTCTCACATTGATAATTTTTTTAAAAATATGTATAGATTTGATTTAATTTTTTCGTCTCTCTCCCTCTATTTTTTTTCTCGCTCACTCTCTCTCCCCTTATTTCCTTATTCTCTCCCTTTTACTCTCTCTCTATATCAGCATTACAACAACACAATTACACTAATCAGTTACATAAATTAGTTACAATTACCCTATAATATACCATACAGTTACTCATGTGTTCTAATAAATCAAACAATTACACTAAATAATTATATAAAATTACAACACCAACCCAGTTTATCATTTAGTTATTTACATAAATTAAAGAGTTACATCATTTAATATCAAAACATGTTTATAACAATTATATACATCAAATTGAGTTTATTATTACACAAAAGACTTTACCATTACACTAAACTTGGTATATATAATTGGTATAACGATATCACAATACTAAATGGCGCAACTATTTAGTTTATATAAACAACTGAATGACAAATTAAATTAGTGTTATAATTTTGTGTAATTATTTGATGTAACTGTTTGGTTTATTATAATGCATGAGTAACTGTTTTGTGTATTATAAAATAATTGTAACTAATTAGGGTAATTGTATTGTTTTAATGTTGATATAAATAGAAAGAGAGAAAATAAAGAGAGAGAGAGAGAGAGAGAAACAATTAGAGAAAATAGGGGATGAGAGATGAAAAAATAAATTAAATCTTTATATATTTGAAAAAAAAAATATCAATGATAGATAGAGAGATAAAATAGGAGAGAGTTATTGAGAGAGTCTAATGAAATTTTTATATATTTGATTAGATATATAACTGTCAATCAAGAATGCATTATTTAAGGGAGAGTATTTAGATATAAAAATTTGATTTTATTTAAATTTTGTACCTAAACACAATATATTTTATTAAAATTGAACTTAATAAAGTAAACAACTTATCTATACATTTTTATTCAAAAAAGTTTCAAAAAAGTCTATAAAATTATACGCACAGCCAAAAAACCCATAAATCTTTTATGTTTAGGGGTGTCCGTGGGCCGATTTTTTTTTTTTTTTTGGACTGGACTTGAGTAGGGTAGGTCCAAATCCTTATTCAGGTGAGTTATAAGGATGGGCGGGCTGAACTTCAGGTGATAGTTGGCTCCAATCTAACTCGTCACTCATTGGACATGCCTGCTCGGAGTGTGCTGATGACCTGGTGGGTCCTGATGTGCAAGACAGAAAAAGTAAATGAGTAATCAAAGTTTTTCCCACCTAATTTTTTTCTCACCAAACTATGTGTGCCTAATTTTTCTTACTTAATTATCGAAGTTTTTCAAATTTCAAATTCTATAGTCTAATTTTTTTCTAAAGGAAGGGCGAATGAGTTCTTGGGCCGAATTTTAATGGGTTTTTGTTGGACGGGTTGTTGGGCTATGTTTTGGGTTAGATAATGGTTTTAGGGGTAAATCAAGCATTTTCTTGAAGGATATTGGACTTGAGTTCGGATAAGCTTATTGTGTTTCGGGTCCGAATAATAGGACCCATCGGCAACCTGACTCATAAACACCTCTATTCATGATATGATCCTAAAAAATTACCAAAATTCAAATTCAAAACGTTTAAAATTATAACTAGTCTCTGTTATCACTTGAACTACTATCTTATCATTATCAATTAACCACTATTTTTCCAAGACAAGACATATGTCATTTATTATCCAAAAACAGTTTTAGGCACTTCTCCACTATGGTATCAAATGATTAGTTTTCAGTATGGTACTTTCTACAAATATGTGGCGGGTATTTCATTGTTTATACCGGTGATTTGCCGGGAACTGCAAATCATAGTTGTCATGTGGCAATGCCCCTGGGTGGAAATGATCAGTTCAATGCATCATAGTTTGTACAATGATCAGTTCTATAAGAACGTCTAGTACTTTCTACATTGAGAAAAAGGCACAAAGGGTGTTACACCTGCCACACGGAACTGGCGAAAAGCACAAGCATGTAACCTTTCAAATCTTAAAAATACCGAGAAAATCAACCATAAAAATGGTAAACTTATGTCTTTCATTAATTAACCTATTGAAATTCCTTTGCAACATATTGTGTAGATTGAATCCTACAACTGTTTCCTGAAAGAATAAAGGACAAAAAAAGATCTTCCTCCATAACAGTAACAGTAAAGTGGGAAGAAGAGAGATGAATTAACACATTTATTAAAACTTTCTATTCTGGGCTATTCTGGTGGTGGTTGCTGATACAGATGGAAACCTGCGGCTTTTGAGGCAAAAAATAGAATTGAGAGGGCAAGATCCAAGACATCTAGGGCAAGCGACCGATCCAAACTTGCCTCCAGAAGGTTGCCCCATTCAACTCATAACGAGACAGAACAGGTAGAAATCTCAGTTGATGTTTATCCAGACTTGCTTTCATTTACTACGCTTCTTAGCTTCGCTATAGAGGAGAACCCCAATGACAGTCAGTGTATATCCAAGCATCCCAGTAACGGAGACAGGATTTCTAAATATTAATATTGAGACCACCACAGCCACAGCTCCTTTTGCATTTCCAAGGACCTGCAGAGGCAGCAAAAATTTGTTGTCAAAGCAGAAAACATCATATAAGATGTTAAAAAAACAATCAAATTAAATATAATAAACAGATAGATAATTAAACTAAAGACTTTGGCAAGGGGCACCAAATGGTACATTTAATATCACTAGGCCGTGACATATGATGTTCTAACGTTACAAGGAATAATTGCCAGAGCTACATTCTGCATCCCATCTTAAGGCAATTCGACTTTCTACAAAGAAGTAGAAACTTTATGCCGTCTCAACATGACTGCATATGAATGTATGTTCTACATTTTTTGAGGGTGTACATGGAAAATTCTTATCATAAATAAATTCTACAGAAATTCCCACTGAAAAGTTTATTGACACTGGCAGACTAAATGAGGTTAAAGACAATATGAACAGTATAAAATGATAACTAAACCTGCCATCCATAACTTGAAGGTTAGTGACATTCATTGCTTCAATTATCCACCAATAAGCCAAGTAGTAGCTAAGTTAATACAATTGCATTGACTACTAAACCTCGAACAAAGTATTCCATCAATCTACACACGTCTCATAATAATCAAACTAGACAGCTCTAAAATAGCATATAATGTCAGGATAATCCTTATCAAACAACTATTTGTTTGATAACAATAAGAGCATTTCCAACCCATACACTTTTTTAGACCCAAATTTAAAAAGTGGATTAAAAAATCTCTAAAAACCTTCTCCAATGCCATAATCAAACATATACCAAATCAAGAGAGGAGACTCAAACCTTTACTCAAATCACCAATGGTTAGATTTTATTCTTCTTTAAAGATCTAATGGTCATTATTCTATACTACTTTAAATTTGAGTTTGTCCTCATTTAAATTTAAATTTGCCTTCTTTTAAATTTAAGTTCTCCATTGGAGTGTTTTATATCAAATCAAACTTTTTACTCAAATGTTGACCCAAATTCGAGTTAAGGATGGAGATACTCTGACACTGAATCATATGCTATCTTCATACTTGTTAATACAATTTCTTTAACTCACTTTCCCAAGAACCACTGTCTTGCACAAAGTTCCAATTCCAGGAGGGAATCCTATGAAAAGATTATTTCTGATAAAGTATTACAAAAAGCACAAAATTTAAAGATGCTTTTCTTATGTGTAGGTTTCCAGGAAAGTAATAAAAACACAGGCATTCCACTTTCTTGTGACCCAGGAATATGCTATTGGCAGTAAGATTTTGTTAGTGGATCTAGACTTCCTTACAACAACCAAACACACAGTGTTTTGTTAATTAAAACATTTTGTCCCCCCTTTATTTCCTTCACTATCAATCAAACAGGGTGTCAGNTTAGTGGATCTAGACTTCCTTACAACAACCAAACACACAGTGTTTTGTTAATTAAAAAATTTTGTCCCCCCTTTATTTCCTTCACTATCAATCAAACAGGGTGTCAGTGTCCTGTATGTAAGAACAATGTTTATTCTGAACATTGGTAAAGCATAACTATGCATTAAGATACAACAGAAACCCCAAGCAAACAATAAGCATGATCATCCCTTCCAGTAGTCAAACACGCAGTGATTGACTAATCCGCACGGAAATTCCTGCTGTGCCGCTGTAATTAGGACACCAAGATGAACATTATTGTAGATAATGACCATGAGGTGATGAAGTTTACATCTTTTTAGAATCTATACATGGGGTAGCAGCGAAGAATATGTACATCCTTTAATATAACTTTTTATAGATGCATCCATGCACTAATGTACCTACCGTATATATGCGCATGTGTGTGTGTGTTACCATAGTTGTTGGTTATACTTATTTATAAGGATTATTTATGCACGTGGCAAATTTTACTTACCCTATCAAGGTGGTTTCTGTTGCATCTTTCAATTCTACCAAATGTACGGGTAGGAAAGACACTTGGCTACTCTTAATAGTTTCCTGTCTTAATTAGGAAGCATCTAGGCCCAACAGTCAAGAACAAAACATACTGCAATCTGAACAAATACAGCACACAACATAGGAAAGAGATCACCCAGTGCTTAGATAATAGTAACCTTCTGGGTGACAGTTCCTTTTCTTTTCTTTTCTTTTTTCTCAGTGAATCTTCTATTACAATAACTTCACACTCATATGTTAAAGGCAATAGGAGAGAATCCCATCTTTAAATAATAGGTTGTCAAGTTCTTCTGTTTCTCATACTGAATATGATTCTATATTTAAGAGTACATGTAAAGATCATCAACTCACAAAAGAAAAGAAGCTTGGACCAGAACAGTAGGCATACCTGGAGAGTAAGAGCACTGGTGTGTTTTGTGACCAAAAAGTTGGTCAAATTCACAAAATATGCAAGTGCAGAATTGAAGAGCAGATACCAGACGATCCTGATATCCTTTCTGGCAAGTGCTAATGTGATGCCAACTACATTTTCTTCCATAAAGAGTGTTGCAGGAAGTAGGAGCACTACAGCTATAGGAGCCATGTACAGGAGAAGATTCATAGAATTCAGCTTTTCACTTGAACAGAAAAAAAATATATAAATATCAGAATTCATTCAAACAGAAAATTAATTTACCAAACTTCACCAGAAGAAATAGCNCATGTACAGGAGAAGATTCATAGAATTCAGCTTTTCACTTGAACAGAAAAAAAATATTAAATATCAGAATTCATTAAAACAGAAAATTAATTTACCAAACTTCACCAGAAGAAATAGTCATGACTGCTTACAAAATAATAAACAATATCTTACCCTTCGGAAGAAAGCAAAATCCCCTGAAGCACCGATTTGAGTGCTCTTGCAGCTGTGGCAGCAATACAAATTATAAATCCAAATAGATGGAAACTTGGTTCACCCTAAGACCATGAAAAGGGAACAAAATATCAGACCAACTAAATGAAAACAGAGTTGACAATTATTTAGCCAATTAATATTTTCACGAGAATCATCATGAACTCATGAATCAATAAATTCCACTCAGCATAATTTTTAACCAGAAGACTCAAAAGCTTGACCCTGTATTAGAATCATATGATGACTGAAGTTAGTACCCTTTAGCTGATACGGAACAAAATACCAAAACATCATTAATCCCAACACTACAAAAATTCTCTTAAAGTTTATTGGCAAACAGAAGGGCAAATGTTCTTCTACCCAGAAACATCATTCCAACAGTTGCATATGTATAAATTCATTCAAGCCATAATATAATAATCCAATTGCAACAACTTACATCAGCTAAAACACAATCAATTCAACAATAAAACATCATAATTTTCAAATGCAATATAGCAATATTTGCAATTAAAACAAACTCTTACCCCGCTGGCAATGATAACCCCAGTAACAACAGGAATGAGAGTGATATAAGTGAGCCAAGCCTCCCTCTTAAACGTCATCAAATACGCAAAAACCGCCGTGAAGAACGGCGTGGTTGCCCCGATCGCCTGATTGAAAGAAACCGGCAAATACCTCAACGATATATTCCCACTCACCACGGACGCACAGAAAACGAGACTTAGCGCAGAGATCTTCATGAATTGGACCCGGGATCGGATAGTCTGCATAGGAACCATCTTCATCCACGCAATGGCGATGTAGCTTAGCAAAGAACAAGCGGTCATGTGACACATAGTGAGAAAGATCGGGTATTTGAATCCGTAGTTACTGAGTAAGTACTTGTTCAGCAATAAAACCCCAATGTTTGAAGAATACCATGCGGTGACGAGCCCGATCGTGGAAAATCGGCTCGACCCTTTCGTTGCCGACATTGGATGAGATTGAATTTCGTATCCTAGGGCTTGAAAATTCAGAGTGAAAAAGAAATACAAAAAGTATAGAGTTTATTACGCTATAACAGCATTGGATCTGTTTGCCTCGGAGAGAGAAACGAATGAAGGAGGAAGCAGAGAAAGAAGAGCAGCTTTTGTGAATCTATCAAAAGAAAGATATCATAAGCGTCCATGGATCTGTGAGAATTCCATCATCAGACTCAATGCTTGCGAGATAAACAGACACAGAGAAAGCTGTGTACAGACAGCCAAAGAGGGAGATGTATTGTGTGTGTGAGTGTGTGCGTGTGAAATTCAGAAATGTTCGTGATCTGTGGACGACCGACGACAAGCTTCGAGCCTCTGCAAGTATTGCAGAGAGAGAGAGAGAGAGAGAGAGAGAGAGAGAGAGGTAAACGCGTATGGAGGTCCTCCGACTCTCTCTTTGTGTGAGTAGTAATTTATGGAGAGAGAGGGAGAGAGAGAGAGTTTACTTATTTTTTGTATTTGAAAACGACTCTNGAGAGAGAGAGAGAGAGAGAGAGAGAGAGAGAGAGGTAAACGCGTATGGAGGCCCTCCGACTCTCTCTTTGTGTGAGTAGTAATTTATGGAGAGAGAGGGAGAGAGAGAGAGTTTACTTGTTTTTTGTATTTGAAAACGACTCTNAGAGAGAGAGGTAAACGCGTATGGAGGCCCTCCGACTCTCTCTTTGTGTGAGTAGTAATTTATGGAGAGAGAGGGAGAGAGAGAGAGTTTACTTATTTTTTGTATTTGAAAACGACTCTTTTGAAACGTTTTTTGTACTGGACTGGACCTGTGGAAGCATATAAGGAAAAGTCTACTTTGATTGGTATTCTGGGTATAAATACCCGAAGAATACTTTTCGAGTTTTCTACACACTTTTGGATCTCTGGGTTGTCCATTATACCCATGGATACGAACTCGTTTTTTTTGTTTGTTAAGTATATAAAGAAGGGGACTTGAACCCTTGACCTGTAAAGATTTTACAAAATAAATAATATAATTAGAACAAATTAATAAATAAATTAAATTAAAATATAAATATAAATAACATAATTAATAGATATTGTATATATATAAAAACTAAATATTTTATAATTTTTTCAATTTATTTGCATAGNCTGGGTTGTCCATTATACCCATGGATACGAACTCGTTTTTTTTGTTTGTTAAGTATACAAGGAAGGGGACTTGAACCCTTAACCTGCAAAGATTTTACAAGATAAATAATATAATTAGAACAAATTAATAAATAAATTAAATTAAAATTAAAATATAAATAACATAATTAATAGATATTGTATATATATAAAAACTAAATATTTTATAATTTTTTCAATTTATTTGCATACTATTTTGTTTTAGAATAAAATTAAATTTTATTAACATGATCATGATGCAAATAAAAAATAACACAACTCGCAAATGATTTATTATCAAAATGACACGACATAAAAACACAATACAATTAACACGACACGAAAACACAACACAATTGACGCTTAGTTTGTCAATCGTGTCGGATGAGGCGAGTTAATATCAAAAAATATTTCACTCTTATTCAGTTCATTTATTAATTCGTATTTAACGAATCGTGTCATATAAGAGTTCGTGTCGTATATGAATTATATATAATTGATGTATAAACTAGTCGTGTCATGTATTTCTTTTGATTAGGTTCACTTCATACCTGATTCATTTATTAATTGTGTCACGTCAGATCTACTCATTTGTAAAACGAATGGCTTAAGAAAGACTATAATTTTGTAGAATAATACTACCCAATACAAATAAAATCCAAAAAATTGTAACTCAAATGTATATTATTTATTAGATGAATGAGTCTCGTCAACTATTTTTAAATATAATACACTTATCCAACACTCAACTAAAAATCCGTTAAAACCTAACCCAAGAACCCGTCTGCTTAACCCAGTTCAGCGCACCTAAATAGTCCACCGGCCCTTCCTTTGAGAAAATTGATACTATTGAAAAACTTAGATAGTTACGTAGGAAGAAGTTAAGTGCACCACCCACTGCACAATACTAAAATTCGAAATTATAAAAATTTAGATATTGTAAATAATATAACCATTTTTTTTTATGTTTTAAACATACACGTTTTAAAGGTTAAACTATGTAAATAGTAGTAGGTAGATATGTGACAATCTAGTTAAAATGTGATTCTTTTATTGTGATACAATTCTTCCCCTATTCATAAATAAAATTATTCATTATTTATTATCTATTTTGACTATATTTGGCCCCACCTAATGAGTGGCTGGTTTGGCTGTGAGTAGCTTATCCCTTTTCAAAACTCGGCTTGACCCGTTCGATAACTCACTCGAATAAGGGCTTTGGTCTATTCTACCTAAGTCTAACCCAAAATTTTTTTTGCAAGTCTAGTCCGACCTGACTCATAGACACCCCTATTCATGTTATGTTAATAAGTTTATATCATATTTTGACACCCTTAATTGATACCTTACTCTCGGTCTCAGGTTCTCAGCTACTATCAAGTTCTACAATTAGTATCAATAAATTANAAGTGCACCACCCACTGCACAATACTAAAATTCGAAATTATAAAAATTTAGATATTATAAATAATATAACTATTTTTTTTATGTTTTAAACATACACGTTTTAAAGGTTAAACTATGTAAATAGTAGATAGGTAGATATGTGACGATCTAGTTAAAATGTGATTCTTTTATTGTGATACAATTCTTCCCCTATTCATAAATGAAATTATTCATTATTTTTTATCTATTTTGACTATATTTGGCCCCACCTAATGAGTGGCTGTGAGTAGCTTATCCCTTTTCAAAACTCGGCTTGACCCGTTCGGTAACTCACTCGAATAAGGGCTTTGGTCTATTTTACCTAAGTCTAACCCAAAAATTTTTTTGCAAGTCTAGCCCGACCTGACTCATAGACACCCCTATTCATGTTATGTTAAAAAGTTTATATCATATTTTGACACCCTTAATTGATACCTTACTCGGTCTCAGGTTCTCAGCTACTATCAAGTTCTACAATTAGTATCAATAAATTAAATATAAATAATTTTATTTGTGAGAATATGGTTTTATTATGAGTGATAGATCACTATATATTTTTACTATGTAACGATATAATGGCTTGCCATTTCAGCATAAACTTGTGGGAATCTATATTTATTTTAATCTTATTGTCACATTGAATGATTTTAATTTTTTTTCTTCTTCTTGTAAGTCGTTAAGTCTCTTCGTTTTTTGGGTGTTATTTTTATTTGGACATAAGTTTAATTTTGTAAATATTATTCTCCAATTGGTAAATAAAAAAATATATATTAACTTATCAATACGTGATTTCTGTTTTTTTTTCAATTTCAAAGAAAGGAAAAAACCAGCATTTTTGTCAAATTAATAATTGTTCTTTGATAGGATTTAACAAGTCTTAATGGAACATTTTCAAGATTTTTCGATATCAACGGATGATTTTAACCAAAAAAAGAAAAAAAACAACTTTTATGAGACATTAAACTCCTTAAGGATCTTTCGAATATATATATATATATGTATGTATTAAAAAATAAATCTATCCAATTAGAACACGTGCCACAAATTTTTTTCGTTTTTACGAGTGCAAATTTTCTACTATGGTAGCATAGAATAGACTTGTGTAATTCAATACATATGGTAAGTCAATATTCAAAATCAATGCAAGAATAGTATTTTGATTTTTCTTTCTTTATAACACTAACATCGAAGTTTCCATCAAGGCATGTCCAGGCTAGGCTAAGCATTTTACATGTTGAAGTTGTCAAAATTTAAACTCTTCCACCTATCATATAAAGTTGGGTAAGGCTAGGACNCCAGGCTAGGCTAAGCATTTTACATGTTGAAGTTGTCAAAATTTAAACTCTTCCACCTATCATATAAAGTTGGGTAAGGCTAGGACACTAGAAAGTATGCTTTACATTGTTCTTTTATTTGGCCAAGAGAGAGATGTGGAGTGCATTTACGTATGTAGAGGGTTATTTATTATGTTAGGCTAGTTAAGATTGTGCCCATTTTCATATGCCAACTCGACAAATTGCACTTTTTTTAGAGATCCATTTTTAAAAATAAAAAATAGAAAATAAAAATTTAAAACCATGAAAAATCTAAATAAAGATACAAAATGGGGAAAGGGGCGGCCCACTAGTTTCTGCTGGCGTCAAATGACACCGAAAACTAAAAGATATCTATCGAAAAGTACGATGAATTAACTAAATTGTTGTCAACTATATCTGAAGGTTGCAAAGTCTTTATAGTGTCCCTGAACGGAAGGAAAGAAAGGCTAGAAAAGTCAATTTGTGAAGAAGGATTAATTTTACTTCTCCACCCACCTAGCTGCTCTAGGGTGGGGGAGTAAGTACTAGTCGGGAACTTATGATCATTTTTTCATATGATGCATTTCATTGAACTTTCTCTCTAGTATGGAGCATTTTTCACTTTTGCATGAGTTTTTTTTTTCCATACAAATTTTAAGTTTCACACCCAATGATGGTGTTTCATCCTCTTTGACACGATGTTCCTTTAACTTTTTCAGGTATCATCCACTAGTTTAACCAACTATAGCATCGTAACGTTATTCTACTTCAACTTCAACTTCAACTTCAACTTGGAAATTATGATGTTACACTCTCTTAGGCATAACGATCATTCTTATATCTTACATCTANGTAACGTTATTCTACTTCAACTTCAACTTCAACTTCAACTTGGAAATTATGATGTTACACTCTCTTAGGCATAACGATCCTTATTATATCTTACATCTTNTTCAGGTATCATCCACTAGTTTAACCAACTATAGCATCGTAACGTTATTCTACTTCAACTTCAACTTCAACTTCAACTTGGAAATTATGATGTTACACTCTCTTAGGCATAACGATCATTCTTATATCTTACATCTATTAGGTTTAGGAGCAGGGCGTAACTTTGACATACTTCACTTTTGTACTTGGATCATGAGATTTGCTCAAAAGCATTCTTTCAACCCACTCTTTCAACTTGACTTCAAATCTGTTAAAAAAAAAAAAAAAAAAATTGGGACTTTGAACCACACTTTTATATTAAAAAATATAAATTTAAACAACATTTTTACTTAAATCACAATAAATCAAGAAATGAATTGAAAACTAATATAGAGGGAGAATTAGGTGGAAAAAATTAATTAGGAAATTGCCTCCTATATTATCTGCNCAAGAAATGAATTGAAAACTAATATAGAGGGAGAATTAGGTGGAAAAAATTAATTAGAAAATTGCCTCCTATATTATCGGGACCTGCCAATGGTGCATGAAGTAAAAGGAGAGCTAAGCTAAAAAAGAGAAGGGGTGCAAAAAATAAACACTTAAAACTAGTCAACCTTCAATTACATGTTTTCTCATTGGCACTAGATAAAAAAAACTTGTTACCAGAACAAAATGATAGAGTAGATCACAAATTCAAAAACATTTTAGAACACTCTTATAACTATCAATTAACATAAAGTCCCCAATGTCTTTATTCTGGCCCTCAAAAACCTTCACAAGTCACCAGTGATTTCAATGTCGTCTGCTTTCAGGTCACTGCAAGAGACGAAAACACAATAATTAGTCATCATAAACCAAACACAAAGCATTTAAAAATAAGACATTGTGCAGTAAATAACAGACACACGATAAGTGATATATAGCATCGGAGTTCATTATGTATGCAACACTCCGAAAACAGCATCACTATGTAATTCCCAAAACCACATTTACAAGCATACCACAGATTATGATTTAACATAGAACTGGTTGGTTATTAGTTCCACAACCTAAAAGAAAAACATAATGGTTCAATTGATCTTCAAACAAGGTGACAATGAAAAATATTACAAAAGGTCCTAATACCAATTGGTCCAATTCAAGTGCCAGATTGTGTAATAATGAATTATTAAATTGTGCATTCGAAAATTGTGTGATATAAAGATGTAGACAAAATGTTATCTGTTAACTAATCGAAAAAGAAAATAAGCAGGATTTTCTCCTAACCTATATGATTCTTGAGATTTAGAGAAATGAGATGCCAAAATAAACTCTACAAGATTGTTTTTTTTCCCAAAGAGAAAGTGGTGTTTCCGAATAACAGAGGCTCCCACGGCTTACACAAACATAACATCCTATAGGGAAGGTGGTTAAAAATCAAGCTTTAGATTCATATGATATTTTCTGATATAGCAGCAAACATATATAATATCACCTAAGAAACACCAACTAAAGAAAAGCAGCAAACAAAGGTTATGAGAAACCAACACCACTAATGCTAAGTACCATGCAACTAATCCACAAAATATATCATATTCTCTGATCAACTCAGTAACTTCATGCATTACAAAGGTCCAACTATTATTGAAAACCAAATCCTACATCACAAAATTATGTTCCTAAACTCGGGCCTGTAATGAAAAATTCACTGCATGCCGTTCAATATCCTATAGAACAATTATAAATCTTTGACTTTGACTATTGCTATTTCCTTGACCCGACCCCGCGAATAAACCTGCTTAACATAAAGACCGAGATACAGGGATGGACTTAACATAAAGACCGAGATACAGGGATGGATGGCATACCAATTCAAACACAGAAGGATATATGTATCGTATCAAGTACTGTACAATAAAGTAAACTTTCCAAATGAAATACAAAAGCCCCAACAAATTTTATGCATCACGTGGAATTTTTAAGGCGGCAAGGACAAACNTCAAACACAGAAGGATATATGTATCGTATCAAGTACTGTACAATAAAGTAAACTTTCAAAATGAAATACAAAAGCCCCGACAAATTTTATGCATCACGTGGAATTTTTAAGGCAGTAAGGACANACAATAAAGTAAACTTTCCAAATGAAATACAAAAGCCCCAACAAATTTTATGCATCACGTGGAATTTTTAAGGCGGCAAGGACAAACAAAAAAAAAAGAAAAATTCAGAAAAGAGAGAACATGACAACAGCAGTGGCAACAAAATGCATTAAGCATCAGTCACAAATAGGCACATATGGCAAGTCACATGAACAAAGTACAGTTATCTTCAAGAAATGCATTCCATAAAATATAGTGCTTAAAATTCGACCATATCTCCTCATTTAAGCATTTTAACCCTTTCTCAGAAGTATTTCCACATACAGACCATATCAAAATCGAAGGATTCCAAATAAAACCACATGCTTCGTTTCAATCCAACAAAGCTAGGAATATAATCTATGCTAAGTTTGGTACAATTGTGGCACAGGTTCCCCTTACATTTATGATGATNTATAGTGCTTAAAATTCGACCATATCTCCTCATTTAAGCATTTTAACCCTTTCTCAGGAAGTATTTCCACATACAGACCATATCAAAATCGAAGGATTCCAAATAAAACCACATGCTTCGTTTCAATCCAACAAAGCAAGGAATATAATCTATGCTAAGTTTGGTACAATTGTGGCACAGGTTCCCCTTACATTTATGATGATATTAAGCCATTGGTTTCCTAAGAAAGTGTCAAAAGAACTTCTTTGAATCAATTCTATTCAACTTGAACCTATTCTCAATAGGAGTAAACTTCAGTACTGCCACTTACATTTCGGCATTGTCCTGAAAAGTAAGGGGTCTTCCTTATATTACATGTGTCCACTAAAAAAATTATGACCGTTGAAACCGATATTTATTTGAAATACGTANTTCCTAAGAAAGTGTCAAAAGAACTTCTTTGAATCAATTCTATTCAACTTGAACCTATTCTCAATAGGAGTAAACTTCAGTACTGCCACTTACATTTCGGCATTGTCCTGAAAAGTAAGGGGTCTTCCTTATATTACATGTGTCCACTAAAAAAATTATGACCGTTGAAACCAATATTTATTTGAAATAAGTGGTAACATCCAAAAAGGCTATACCCCAATCCAAAAAGTTATAACCCCACCCAAAAAGTTATAACATACCCAAAACCCCAAAACATTTGTAACCCACCCCAAAAATTGTAACATACCCANGGTAACATCCAAAAAGGCTATACCCCAATCCAAAAAGTTATAACCCCACCCAAAAAGTTATAACATACCCAAAACCCCAAAACATTTGTAACCCACCCCAAAAATTGTAACATACCCAAATAAGTTGTAATCCAATTCAAATAATTGTAACACAACCCAAAAAGGTTATAACCCCCAAAATGTTACAGCAACCGAGTTGGGGTACAACAATTTGGGTAGGGTTAAAACTTTTGAGTTGGGGTTATAACTATTTTGGTTTTTGGGTTGTGTAAGTTGAAAACACTTTACTTTAATGTCGAAAAGACTTCACTCCAATGTTGAAAAAAGATTGAGTTACAACTTTTTTAGCAAGATTACAAACTTTTTAGAGTGATGATAGAACATTTGGAGTTGTTATAAGTTTTTTTGGGTGACATTACAACTTTTGAGGATTTGTTACAAACTTTTGGGATAGTTAAACTTATTTAGGTTGAGTTACAACTTTTTTTAAATTGAATTACAACTTTTTTAGTTGAATTATAATTTTTTTGGATTGAGTTATAAACTTTTAGGTGGTGTTACAATTTTTTTGGATTGAGTTACAAAAAATAGTGAGGTAACAATTTTTCTGGATTGAGTTACAACCTTTTGGCGTGGGTTTAGGGTTATGTTACCTCCTTTTCGGTAGTCAACCCCAACTCCTTCGATTACTACTCCAGGTAACCGGCATCTCACCAAATAAAATGAGAAAATAACAGTGAAGTGATCAACAACTAGAAAACATCAAATATTAATCAATGGTGTCAATTACTTTGGCGGTACAATACAGAAATATGCTTTTCGGTACTGTAGAAGGACCCATTCTGAATAAGTCGAAGTATCACAAATGGTGTACGCCACTTGTTAGAAAATCACAAGTATCTTACAAAAAAATGCTTTCATTTATCATCCATAAAACTACTCAACCGAAAATATACTAGTATTGGAATTTGGAACAACCCATAAGAGAAAATACCTCAGATGTTGCTTGGGTACAAGAAAACCCTAACCCTAGCTCCCTGTCAAAAAAAAAAAAAAGAACACCAAAACTTAAATCTCTCAAACAAATCCACATTCACATACAATCCCGCAGAAATAAAATAATCTGTTTTAATAATTTGATTCATCGAAACATACCATGGATTTAGGGGGCAGATTGGACTTGAACTTAGCTCTCACCACCCCACTGTTACCGTGAGGCCTAATGACCTTTCCCCATATACAGCGATAGTGCGAGCCGTCCTTCTTAACCTTGGCCTTGTAGATGTAAGCCATGCGCTTCCCCTGGTACCATGTCACCTCCTCCTTCGTATTCACGCCTTCGATCTGAATCAAAGACGTGTTTGGATACTGGTTCGACTTTGATCTAAACACAAACAATACTATTTCTAAGCATCCACACAAACAAACACAGAAATTGTTCATTGATCATTCGTTAATCACCTCTTGTAACCGAGAATTGTTCCTCTGACGTAAAGTCTGAAATAAACACCAAATTACAAGGAATGTTAGTATATAGAAGCTTTTGTGTGTGTAGATATAGAGCTAGGGTTTCGGGGAGATTTGAGACCTGATACGCTCGCCTTGGCGACCCTTCACCATTTTCGATGCAGGATTGAGAGCTAGGGTTTCTGGAGGAGCAACCGGAGACGCTGCGGCTGAGGGAGGGTAAAACCGATTTGTGGAGCTGATGCTTCATTTTATATGAAGAGTGCGAGGGTTTAGTGCTGATGGAGTTGAATTGGCCTTTATGGGCCCCAGGATATTCATGGGCCGGAAGGTCCAAAACTTTAATTAGGCTCACGTTAGGGTGTCATGAGTCATGACCGGTGGTTTCTCCTTCGGCCCTAGGCCAGGCTCGAACTTATTGTTAGGAAGGAGTACAACTAATCCTTATAACTTTTTGTTAGGTGATGATACCAGTAAAAATGGGCCATTTAGCCCATACATCCAGACCAAGAGAATAGTTCAGTTCTCAAAGGTCACGTCATCACATATAAAAAATCATGTGACAATTCGGTTGAAAATTGAAAATCATAACGATCACTAGTATATAAATAGAGAGTAAATACGTTGGCTCAAGTATTATTAGGTATTTTGTACTTAAGTCTTCTTCTTCCTAACTAATACACAACCAAAGAACAATGGCCTCCATTACAAGACTAATCCAACTCTTGAGCTGGTCGAACCACTCAGGTTTTTATGCATTTTCTCTCACTTCGCCACACACACCCAATACACTTCACACAGAGCTCATCAGCCCTTCCAAGTCACAGATTTTACAAAAAAAAAAAAGTATAATGTTGACATTTAAATTTTAAAAGGATTGCTCATTTTCATATTCACAGAGGTTCCCAACTTGATACTGGTGAGGAAACAAAGTCGTGCAGGAATAGAATAGATTACAGAGAAATTTTAATTGTCAAACCCCGTATACATGGGGCCTTGTTTAGTTATACCAATCAAGAAATAGGATTGAAAACGTGAGTACAAATAGAAAAAGCAAAAGAAAAGTTCTGCTACTGCTGTTCCGTTGGATGGCTTTCGACAGTTCCTTGTTACCAAGCTCTACGTTTTTCGTAGCTTCAACCGCCTGACAAACGAAAAGGGGTGAAAAGAATTAATACAAAGTTTGCATTTACAAATACAAAAATGTCCCAATCATTAGGGAGAGTGGATCAAATCTAATGTATTCATGCCTTCAAATGACTTACAAATTTCAGAATGCTAGTCTAGTTCGTGTCTAGTTGGTGGTGCAAGCATAGGATTTGTTTACGAAAACATTTTACAAGACAAAGGAAATCGAATGTCTAAAACCAAAACTTAGATTCCTTCAACTAGTAGATAAGACTGGCAAGAGCATTAAACTTGCATATTTCCCCATTTTGAATACCCACATACATGTGTTGCATCCTAAA